TGTTTCTTCTCTTTGAACTCTAGGTGGAAAAGACATCGTTTTTGGTAACCATGGACCTGCGTGGAGGTTTTATCGAAAATTGTTTATTACGGCTCTTCGCCAGTACGTGTCGGACAGCCCTCTTATAGAAAGCAGAGTCTCGCCTCAGGCCGAGAAATTGATACATTTTATGGAACAACAGAATGGGGCGCCTTTTGATCCTGCAGATTGCTTGCAGCGAATTGTTGCCGATGTCATTTGTGGTATAATTTTTCAAGACGGCTTGAACACGAAGAACCCAGATATGGACAAACTTTTGAGGCTGAATGTTAAGTTTGCTGAGAGTGCTGATGCAGTCAAGATGGCCTTCATCTTGGACTTTTTTCGGGGCGCTCGTCACTTGCCAGTAAAGGCAAGGCAGGATCGCATTGTCCAGCTCTTCTATGATATGTACGATATTATTCGCAAGCTATTAAGGGAAAGAAAAGAAACATTTGACCCAAGCGAGCCAGTGGAGGACTTTATGTCAGCTTTACTTCGAGCCAGATACGACCTTGATGCAGAATGCAAGAGCGACGAAGAACGATCCGCTGTCCTCTCCGAAGATTATTTCATCGCCGCCATCGAGGACATGTTTCTTGCTGGCTTTGAGACCACAAGCACCACTTTGAGATTTGCCCTTGCCTTCCTGGCTAACCATCCAAATTATCAAGAGAATATTCAGCGCCAGCTAGATGAAGTGCTTGATGGACGAAGTCCCTCCTTAGAAGATCGCCTTAAGCTGCCACTCATTCAGGCGATGATCTTGGAAACACTGAGGCTAGGGAATGTGGTGCCACTTGCGATACCTCATGTTGCCCTTACCGATACAACTCTAGGTGGCTACCGTGTTCCTAAGGATACGGTCATTCTTGCCAACACAGAAGCCGTCCATCTAGATCCAAAATGCTGGGAAGATCCCACCGTTTTTAATCTATACCGCCATACTGATGCAGACGGCAAGTTGATCACCAACCAAGGTAATTTTTATCCTTTTGGAGCTGGACGTCGGGTTTGTGCTGGTGAATCTTTGGCTAAAGTTGAATTGTTCCTGTTTTCATCGTGGTTGCTGCAGAACTTCACGTTTCTGCCTGTGGAAGGTCATCCTCCGAAGTCAAAGGCAAGTATCATCCAGTTTCCACAACGTTACAAGATACGTGCGATCAAACGCAACTGAACTGCCTTTGCGAGTCTTCTATAGTTAAGAACAAGTTAATTGTAACCAAATGAAAAGGCAGCTTGTATAAACAATTGCAAGTCAACCATATAGTGCTTAACCCTCGAACTCTCTTGGGCCCCTGAGGTTGAGCAAAAGTGTTTGGAACTAATTTCTGCAAGGTAACTAATTTCTTCAAATGACGTGACTCAAACCTCTCAAACTTGTAGCTGATGAACAATCAAAAACTTTATTATTGACAATTAATAATACATTGTGTTTCCATAGTTGAAGAAAGACGTAATCTTCGGATTTGTCTTGTTTGTTTTTATCTTTTCTCTTCTTTTCTTTCTTTCGTTTGTTTTTTTTTTTTACCAGTGTTTGAATTTTCGAGTGTTTTTGTTATTGTCAAAAATAAATTGAAGCCAGTTTTTTGTCTCTTTCCCTAGTTGACGTTTACCTTGTTGTTGAAAGTTTGTCGTTTGTTTTAGATTGTTTTTTAAGGATCAATAAGAGCAAAGACAAACACAAAAAAGGGTGTCCAATTTGTTTTTCAAAAGAAAAAACAACTTTATAACTCGTCATTTATGAGTTGCAAAAAACCGCACTTTCACACTGAGGCCTTCTGCAATATGTTTTTTTTCTTAAACGATTTTTTCGAGTGTTTTTTTTTTTACTTTAATCGTTCTGGCAGGCTTGAAGCAACTGTTAAAGTTACCTGTTCTTACATAATATTGCTTATGCTAAAAACAATCTACGTTTTAGTTATTACATTTCAATATTTTTTATTGATGATGTATAACTCTTGTGCTGGAGATGAAAAAGCTATGTCAGATAATGGAGACTTTGAAGATCCGAGGACGACGACGGCGGCGAAAATATCGCTTAAAAAGTGAATTCGCGTTCACTCAAAATTCATCGCGACAGTTGCAACTCACTTATCTTCTCAAATGTACGCGAACTCTCCTGGAGTTGAATTCCTAAAAACCATATCCAGGCTTAGAATGAGAAAGAAAATTTCGTAGGAGATTGTTTACGTCCTCCATAAAACGTAAAATTAGGCATTTTCACGTTGTAGTCGTGCAGTGACGGCAAAGAAATGTACAAAAAAGGGTGATGGCAAAGTTGTTGTTTTGCTAATCTTATCCTATTGCTTTTTTGACGTTCATTTTGCCGTCGCCGTCGTAGTCGGATCTTAAGGTCGCTAATAAGAAAACGCCTACGATAGCCTGTGTACAACTGCCCCCTGTACTACAGGGCGGATGATAGGAGTATGATGGACTGTAGGAACATCATCAAAGAGGTCAGGACTTAGCTACCGTGAAATCGCAAAAAAGCCCGAGACTTCCTTTTGCTATTTCCTATCGTATGCCCTTTATTTGCACCAGTCGCTGCCAACAATTAAAATAAGGAGAGTGGAGCGTATATCGACAAAATATACAGTGGCTATAGTAATATTGAGTGGGTTCTTCGAAAAATAGTTTAAAAAAGCAATGGTAATATTTAGCACAAATAAAAAGAACACTGAGAAATATGGAAAAAAGAATTGTTTGCAAGTAGATGACGATGGAATAAAATATGTTTGCGGAGACATATATGTTAAAAAAAATGTTTCCAGAAGATTCATGACACTCGTGATGACTCCAACATTTACTTTAAAGCAGTCCTTCTTGCCTCGTTTAAGGTCACAACCTTGCGAAATCAGTAACCTTTAAAACCGCTTACCCGTTCCTCCTGTGCATTTTTGTGCCTCTTCCTCCCCTCCCCTATCAACCCTTGTTTTTTGCCGTGCCTTGCATGGGGACGTTTGATTAGTCAGCAAAGTATTCATGATTCAGGAAAAAAAGACAAAAAAAACAACAACAACAACAACAACAACAAAAAATTACATAATGCGCAATCCACTATGTTGATACCGCATTTTTTTACCGACCGTGAGTTGATTGTGCATGAGAGAGCCTCATTCAGCCCCAAATCCCAAATTTAAAGGTTGAAAATCTTTTATTTTAATCCACAACGTTACGAAAGCCCCTTAATCCCCCATAATCCTCCATCGAGAGTTTCATTCTCCTATATGCCTGCCTCTTAAGGTGGCTCAGTTGTAGTTATTGTACTTTTTTAGGCGCAATGAACTATGAACAAATTTTGTGTTAACTCTTATCTGTTTTAATGCGATGGTTACGAAACTTTGAGAAAAACTGCAGCTATCAAAAGCAATAAAATGAGATAATCATTTTTCAGTGTTAGTTTATTTATTTATTTTTTACGAGACCAGCGCTAAAGTTAAGCCTCCTTTCAAAGAAAATTGCGTCTATTGAAAACTTTTGCTGTTATTTTTTATTGAAATTATTGGTATCAGGAATCGTTGGGGCAGATTAGTTCGTTTTTGTTTTTTGGTTTGTTTGTTTTTTTTTTTTTACGAGAGTAGCGCTTTAAGTAGGGCCTACTTTTAATGAAAATCGTGTCGATTAAAAAATTTGCCAATATTGTTGACTGGAATTACTGGTATCAGCTTTTTTTAAAAATCAGTAAAAGCTTTGCCGTTTAAATTTCAGAGAAGTCGTTGAAGCAGATTACTTCGTAATTAGAAAATCATCAAAATTGAGCACTGAAAAAAATTGTAAGCTCCACTTTAGACCTAATTTCGTAAAAGCAAAAAAAAAAACTACCACCGCCAGTAAAATAGGACAATTATTTCATTTTATTGCTGTACGCTGATAGCTGCAGTTATTTTTCAAAGATTTGTGACCACTGCATTGAACCGAAAAAGTTGTGACACAAATTAAAGTTTGTCACACTATGAGAACGATGTACATCAATGTACCCCGCATGTTGTATTCCTGGCCAGCGTGTTTATCACTTCTAAGTGACTCCTAGTTTTCTTTTTCAGTCTCTAAAAACCTATGGTGACATTTGCTCTCTGAAAGTTGGAAGCTGCAATTCGGTAATAGCCTCAAGTTCTGAGACTATCAAAGAGATGCTTGTAACCCAATCTGTTGAGTACGCTGGAAGATCAGATTTCTACACCTTCTATACACTTACCTTAAGTATTTATTTGATGGCAATTTGAACACAACGTTATTTTCTTTGGAACTTTTTTTTGAAACATTCAAATTTGTCATCATTTTGGTACACCGTTCGTCTTCTGTGACCAAGATTAAAGAACTGTATAGATTTAGCCAAGGCTAAAGGCGAAGCTCCCTTAATTTATTTATTATTTACTTCAAACAATTAACTTGTAACCATTATAAAGAAATCCACCCGGCGTTTAGCCTGCTATCAGTTGAAAACTAATCATTGGTCAGCGGATAACTTTAAAAAAGCACGTAACCGTGATGGGTCGACACCTGGGCCCAGATATGGTCATTTGATACTGGTCAGTGGATACCAATTGACCACAGCATGTATTTGCAATGTCGGGTTGCAGGCTCCCACATGTGCTAGAAAATGTGAGACTTCACATGGGTTGCCATGCCGACGGATGGGTTGACGGAGGGACAGTCACGTTACTACCAAATTTCTCGGATGAATAGATAACAAAATCTCTCACCTATGGGGCGCCGCTAGCGCGAAGAAGTATCCCCTGAAATCGGCACTTGTTTATTTGTATGTAAGGTCATGTGTTCCTTAATCTCCGTCAAATCGGAGTTCCAGTATCTACTCTCATAAAGAATACTGAATAAGATTACAACAGGGGCTCCTCTTACACCCGTTGTAGTTGGCCATGTATTCATTTTCTTCTTGGTTGCTGCAGAGCTTCACGTTTCTTCCTGTGGATGGTCATCCTCCTAAGTCAAGGGCAAGTATAGTCCAGTTTCCTGAACGTTACAAGATTCCTGCTATCGTCAGACGCAAGTGAATTCTTTTTGTCAATGCAAGGACAAGTTGATTTCAACCAAATTAAGAAATCGTAAACGAGAAGCGTGCAACCATTATGGGTGCACCCGAGAGGTTGCTACAGCACGAAAGAAGCTTCTTGAGTGCTTAGCAAACCTCCCAAGTGCATCCATAACCCGATTGTTGCACAGCTACAACATTTACCATTTCTGTTATAACATAATCAAAAGCGGAAACAATTTCAATCTGCCTTCAATTGGTCGAGTCAGTCATCGGTACTATAAACGAATAGATGTATGCCGTCATCTGCGCGCTTAAACAGATAATGCCCTTCAAAACTGCCTCTAAAGTTTTTCTTTCGCTGAATCAACCGTTCTCCGTCTTAAAGTAAATTGCAAAACGTTTTTCTTTGTTGTTATTCTGAATGGTGTCTGTCTACTTGCTCTTGATCAGGGTAAATACCATAGGGGAAAACTATAACTATAGCTGCAACTATGAACACCAAATCAAAAACTGTGCAACTTAAAATAGGATAATTGTGTGACAACTTTTGCAGTAAACTTAAAGTAGAAATTAGAAAAAACTGACTGTATTGTCTTTTAAATAACAGGAAACATTAATTTTTTTAAAGAAACTAATTAGCTTCGTATCGAAATTTGTCCAGCGAAATGGAGCTAAAAGTCAAACTGAAATAGCAAAAAATTCGCCACACAACCGGTGCCGAAGTGATGCGTGAGCAATTTAGATTCTGTCGTCTTACGATCGTGCTTTTAACTACTATTATGGATTAACAGGAACAAAGTAATAAACAGAGAACTTGTAATTTTCAGAAAAAAAAATTATCTGAAAACCAAATGTTTCTGTTCTCAAATGAAATTCGCACTACATGTACAATTCCAGCGTCATGGTCCGTACTCTAAACTAAAATTAGACCAAAGCTACACAACAAAACTGTCTCGAACCCGAGCGTGTTTCCTAAAATATTTGCTTTAACTTAACTTCAACTTGACTGAAAAGTTAATGACACAATGCTAACTGATGCATTCCCATTCTAAAACATAATTTCCTCCACTATAAAGTTCAAAAAGTACCTTATGTGCCGGGCTAAAATCCTGTAAAAACTTCGCTCACTCGGTCACTCTAGCACTATTCTCAGAGCTCTCCGCCGCGAAGTAAACAAGGATGAAGTCCTTCAAGGCCAATTTATCCCTTGACTCACTTTCCCTCAAAGCAACATACAACTGATTTCTAATTTTCATTTGTATATTTTAACGGTTCATTTAATTTTTGACCTTGCAAGAAAGGAGATTTGCTCAATTTTACCGCGCTAGCTTTTTGTTGGCGTGCACCAGTGGGCAAGCGGTTGATGGTTGATTGACCAATCAGAGCGCGCGCTTTACTTTTGTTATACGTTATAGAAATATGAATCAACTTTTATATACAATTGTAAATAGACCATGTTGCTTAACTCTCGGACTCCTTTTACACTGATTCAAGAGAAATCGCTGAATATTGTACAAATATTTAGCTCAGCAGTTCTATACTTTACTCAGTGATTCACAGGTACCCCCACGAGTGAGAATCGTTGTTGCATGACAGAAATATTATAAGGGTTTGTATGGAGATTTCAGCGATCGTTATTTAGGGGTCAAAAATAGTAATACAAAGTTATTGTGTTTTCTTAACATTTTTGGCCGTTAACGAACAACGGCAGAACTAAAACTGGCTGGAATAATCGCTCCTGTGAAACGGGCAAAAATACGAAGAAAATACCATAAATTTAAGACAAGGAGACAAGGTAAGGGATTCTGGTGTATTTTTATTATACTGTTATTGACCCCTAAATAACGATCGCTGAAATCTCCATACAAACCCTTGTAATATTGAAAGGTTATACAACAACGATTCTCTCGTGAACTTGGGGTACCTGTGACTGATTGTGTCAACAATGACAAATTACCGCACAGATGTACACATGTACCGTGTTTCGTTGATGAAAGAATATCGACTTTTGAAAAAATGTCAGCAACTTTCGACCAATATATACCATTGTTTACCCGATGAATTATATGAAACATGTAGGGATGGGGATGGGGAAGGGGAAAGAAAACCGAAAACAATTTATTATGCAGGCCAAATTTTCCAGGCGAACTGCAAAATATTTCGTGCAAAATTGAGTTTTATTGGACAAGGAAAAACAGAAAAACGTTTTCATCTCAATAATTTCAAATACTACGAGGTTTGTGCTCAGTCTGCTCAAGGACAGAGGTAGAAGCAACTCGTGAAGTGGCTGTTTTAAACATTTTATTGTTAAAGACATTCCAGTCATTAGTTTTCCGTAGTTTTTATTAATGGTGTAACATTTGTGCAAGAGATTGTTAGATGGTGATACAGATAACAAAATGGCCACGGCCATAAAAAATTGTTATTTTATTCTGAGGACCTTAGAAAAGGGGTTGAGCCCCTAATAAGACTTGTCAGTATCAGTTTTACGGTAACCAAGAAAAACGACTTGACATGACGTCAGGGGTACGCATCCCTGCAAATGTCCCCTTGTCCCTGCGTGTATTCAGGGTCCTGGGTCCTGGTAGAGGGATAGCGGTTGCTGAGGCCTTGGAGTTTAATTAGTTAGCTCCTTGCAATACAATAGGAATTTTCAAGGTTTGCAACCATCCTGCAAATGAATCCTTATCCTCATTTTTAGGTTTACATTTTTCTGTCTTCGCATTTAGAGGCTATGAACTCTGATGGATAAATATATTTTAATAAACGTCTGATTAAACTATAGCGATTTAATAGCTAAAGTTTAGGGACCAGTCATAATTTAAGTTGGAGGGGGGAATGGAGGAGAAATTGTTTTTTGTTCCAAATTTTTTCCGGACCCCCACTAATAGCACCCATGTTTTTTAGGTACCCCCCCTTCAATCATGTTAAAAGATTTAAGGGCCCCCCCTTTGTTATACATAATACCCAAATGGTAAAAAAAAATAACATTTTCTTTACCTTACCGTTGTTACTCACTGTCACTTCCGAATGTGCCAAATAACAACAGAGAAGCACTTCACACTAAACTGAGAAAGAGATTTCACCTAGAGCCTCTCAAACAGTTTATAGAGCAAGGATATATCAGTGATTGTGTTATAATTGAGATAAGACAAGCCATCGAAAGGTGAGAGGCCGACAGGACCGCTTCAAGGAAGAAAGAAGATAATCAGCCAAAGCTTACTGCTTTTTATATGAGCAGTACATGCTCTAATAGCAAAAAACTTGACGGTGACACAGACAGTGAGTCCACATCAACCTCATATACAAATAATGATTCGGATAGTGAGATTGCATAACATGACTTTATGCATGTAACCATTTGTTAAAATGCCGATGAAATTGTTTCAGTGTTACACAATAATGGATGTTGTGTTGATGCACCTACTATTTGAGCGTTAAATCTTTTTGTAAAAATGCTGATTAAATTGTTTTAGTATTACACAATATAGGACTTTGTGTAAAACTGAATGAAAATCAGGTCCTTTAATACTCAAACATCATGCTGCTCAGTAGGGATGCTACTTAAAAGAAACTTGAAGACCCCCCAAGGTCATCTTTTGGCATTTTAAGGCCCCCCATATTCCATCCAAAAAAAATTGAAGGCCCCCAATTTCTCCTCCACCCCCTTCCAACTTAAATTATGACTGGTCCCTTAATGTCTATCTATTTAAGTAAAAGTGAAATCTTAAGATAACGTGACACAACGAGCTCGGATACTGTGTAATGTTGACATAAACTTAGATCAATGATGACAGAACTCAATTAAATAGATAGAACCTGCCACTTCACACAGTCATGTGCCTCGCCTCACTAGAGAACCATCACGCAGATGAAGCCTGTGAAATGTACGTACGGAAGAGTTACCTTCTCAGACAGTATCTCTAGGAAAGATCTTGTTGCGGTCCTCCCATTATTATATTTAGAATTCAATTGATGCGAAGAAACGTTTTAGCTTTTAACCCTTTAAGTCCCAATAGTGAACAACATCAATTTTCTCCTAATAATATCCATACAATGTTAAAAGGTAAGGTTAGGAGAATTAACCAAATGATCGCATAAGGGAAAATGCTTTGATCTTTATCAAATTCTCTCAACTCATCCTTTAAAGAAATGTATAGAGATCATTTTGGAGAATTTGTATGTGGATATTGGAGCTTAAAGGGTTAAAGAAAATAGCAAATAGCGTGACATACAAAGCGTCTAATTTAATACTGAATTACGCAACAGGTCGTCGTATCCGTTTACCTCCAATCACATCACGCGACATATTTTCGTAGTTAAACATGGCGTCCCTGCTTGCTCCGGTTTACAATTACCTCAGCCTTGGCAATGTTTTTCTGCTGTTACTTTTGCTGTTCCTTCTCCATTACCTGATGGTGCTTTACGAGTTCAGAAACATGCCACCTGGTCCACGCTTAACAACCCTCCCCGTTCTTGGAAACACCTTCTCTCTTGACCATAAGGCGGAACGATTTCCGGAAACCTTTCGAAGGTCAGTACCTCTAGTAATTAGAAAAGGTCAGTACGGTGGCTTAAGTCAGAAAACAAACGTTCTCGCTTTATCCCTTAGCTCGGACAATAGTGTATAGTTAAGCATACCTGGTGTACGAAAACGCAAAGCGCAAAGGCGTTGTGCATTGCATGATGAAAGTTTTTAAAATGCAAGGCGCATGATCCCCTAGCAAAGCTTAGGCCTCTCACGGCGAGGCAAAAACGTTTGCTGCAAGCAGGGAAAACACATGACAAATGAATTTAAAGTCAACATATTGTGCTAAGAAATTCACACATGTAATCTATGTAAAAATGATTCTACTTGCCGGCGTCGCTATCCTAGGTACCAGAGTTTTCTTCTCGCGTGCGACAGGAAGTTTCGTTTCGTCGGCCGCAGGCCGACGGGTGTTTGGCCAAAGGCCGAAGACGCGAGCGGCGAAGCCGCGAGAAAAAAAACCGCTTTTCGCGGGAGTCACTTTAAGACAACCGAAATCGGAAACCGCGCATGAAAAGCCTCTGGCACCCAGGTTACGGCGTCGCATGCTAGAATCAAAACGATAGGATAACGAAGTACCAGTTGAACCTTTCCACAACGGCCACCAGCTTTGGGACAGAAGAAAGAGGCCGTTGTAGAGAGGTTTAAACAAGAGTAACTGTATTGACTGTCCGCCCAAAAAAGAAGTGGCCGTTGTAGAGAGCTGGCCTATATGGAGGGGTGGCCGTTAGCCAGTGGAGGTTCATTTTGCAGAAAGGGTCACTCTCATGTCGCGAACCGATCTTTTTTGTGCGCCGTTCCCTTTCAGAACTGCAGGACTGAGTCTCATTTTAAGGTGATGATGACTGAATAGACATTGTAGAGTTTGCTCTCATTTAGGGACCATAATGGCATTATTAGGGATGAACGTGGTGAAATATCCTTTTCAAAAATGTAACTTGTCTTCTTTAGGCCACGTGAGAAAGACGTCTGTGGTAGAAGGTTCACTGGCCTACCCGAGCTTCTCTGGGCGAGCCAACTCTTCAAACATTTCTTTGTAAAACGTGGCGAACCGCGGCCAACAAAAAAAAAAAAGAAAAAAAAAAAACGAACAAAAAGTGGGCTCCGCGGGTCACCCCTTTGTGATGGTAGGGTCACCCTCCTAGCCTGCCCAAGTTTTCTCCCTAACATTTACATATATCATCTTGCAACATCTATAACAGATATATTCGCAAGCTCCTAAATCAACTCGGTCGAGGTGACATAATCAGAGCATGTGCGAGGGCTGTTTTAGACAAACAAATCACGTGCATAGTATGCAAGAGCGCTGTTATAAGAGAACGGTTGAGCGTAGACTACGAGTAGTCCCTCACTTGTCCTCAGGGATAGTAGAGCGAGCGAAACGCGAGAACGCGAGCACGCGCGCTCGCGTTTCGCTCGCTCTACTATCCCTGAGGAAAAATGGGGGACTATTCGTAGTCTAGGTTGAGCAAGTGGCTTTCGTGACTTTCCCATAGAGAGCCTACTTGCAGGCTATTGCTCGCAGAAACGAAAGCACTCATGCACGACAGTTAGCGTTAAAACATAAATAAATAAATAAACAAGAAGAAGAAGAGAAGAAACACGTTCCCCTCCACAAAAATTTAATGGAGGAGTATGGTTAAAAGCATTGTTTTTCATTTATTTCCGCCCTTTTTCTTAAATATCCAGCAAAATTTCATTCAATCATAAAATGAATCAATTATTTTGGACTCCTTGGCTCAAAAATTTTTGGAGAAGTTTTGGCTTCTCTTTTTTCGAATGTTTTAACGTAAAAAATCAGAAATATTGGATTTTGGGGGCTGTTAAACATTTAAATATGAAGTGAATAATTAGTAAAAAAAATAGTTGGTAGTCCACCATCACAATAAGGTGCCCCTGATCCTATAGGCGGACTAACTGATTGATGCGTATACCTTCTCTACCCTAATTTATTTCCTTCCTAATCTACATCATTCCCTCCCCCCCCCCCCCCCAAAAAAAAACACCCAGAATGCTCTCTTGATGGTCGAGCAATTACTTGTCTATCGCTACAAGAGAGGATTATGCACTGCGACCGCAATCAACGAAAGCATAAGCCCATCCTAAAGAGAAATAAAACTTCTCTTCACCTCGTAAATCAATTCATTGAGCTCTCCATTTGCGACGCCAAAACCCTTCCTTTCACTTTCCTAAAACTTTTACATTGTAGCCTTCGAGACAAGTACAACGGTATTTTTTCCGTGAAACTTGGAAGCTTCAAGGCGCTTATGGCAAGTTCCTCCGAGGCTGTCAAAGAAGTTCTGGTGAAGAAATCGGCTGATTACGCTGGAAGACCGCAAATGCACGTTTTTTATGAGTCTACGCTAGGTATGTTTAAAGTTAAGAGCACGGACGCAACAACTCCTAACATTGTTGAGGCAACAATGTTGGAAGTTGTTGCGTCCGTGTGGGAAGTGGTGTGGAAACGGATGCAACAGCTTCCAACAATGTTGGACCAGTAGTGCATCGTAGAAAGGATACAACCCATAAGACTTTGTAAACTCCGAGAAGACCCCGTGTAATGAGCGCGCGTGGCCCCAACAATGATGAAAGAGCTGTACAAAGGGATCCAACATTGTTGCGTTACGCTTCGGGGACCACGGAAAAAAAGAAATGTCGGGAGTTGTTAACTCAAAAGTTGACCCAACAATGTTGGGAGTTGTTGCGTCCGTTTGCACGCAGCTTAAAGAATTTAGTTTTTCCGATTATTTACCTCTGGATGAGCTGTAACAGCTAAATTCATCTTCACACTACATCCAAATTTATCTGCCTTAATTAACCGTTTAAATCCTAAAATCCAAATCGAAGTTCTGACTTGTTAACGCAATAAATGGAAGCAGAAGGGAGAAGTTTTTCTAGGTATAAATCCATCTTGTAAGATCATATCCATAATTCGTAGCTTATTGAGACTACATCCTTTTATACAACGGTTATGTAACACTGAGAAATTTGATGCTGGTCACTTTTTTGGCTATACAAATGGTGAGAACAAATCAACGTTAACCTGATTAACTAACAAATCAGTTACCCTTTTCGCGGCTGATGCCTTTAGGTGAGGACAACTAGCATCGTCTGAGTATGAGGCCCTTCCGTGTGGAAAGAAGGAAATAAGCCTTATACTCGGACTATGATTAACTCTTTTTGTATGAATTGATTGACTAGATAGATATACATAAGGTACGGTTATACATTAGGCCATTGATTTACGTCATTGTCATGGAATAAGATCATCGAGAACGAGCGCTAGAGGCGGTCATCTTGACCGAGTCTAGCTTGAAGTTGACTGGTCTATCTCTGCTACTTAGGGGACGGGGGAGGGTTTAAAATGAGGCGAGAAAAATTCGTATTCTATCCACATGTATCCCTTCTCCAACGCTCGCCCCAGTGGGTTCATTTGAAACCAACTGCAAAATGGCTACCAGTGAGGCCTCAACCTCGTTCCCAGGTTCTCTCTCCTCGGGTAGGAGAGAACCCTGGGGACAAGGTTGGTGAGGACTGTGAACGTACAGTCTATCTCTCCCGCGAAACGTCCCTAGCGGGCAAGGAGCCACTGGTTTGCAGAAGTTTCATGATGAAAACTACTGCTTTATGGTAAGCAAACAACGCTTTTCGTATTGCAGGAGGGAAAGACATAGTTTTTGGTCAAGGTCCTGCTTGGAAGTTCTATCGAAAACTCTTCACAACAGCTTTGCGCCAGTACCTCTCGAACTCTCCTCTGATTGAACAAAGAGTCACGACACAGAACAACAAACTGGTAAAGGTCATAGAAAAACAAGCTGGAAAACCTTTTGATCCTTCAGATTGCTTGCAGAGAAGTGTTGCCGACGTTATCTGTGGAATTACTTTCAAAGACGGCACCGACACAACGAACCCAGACATGGACGAGCTTCTTAAGCTAAATGTTATGTTTGCTGCCAGCGCGGATGACGCTCAGTTGGCTTTAGTCCTTAATTTTTTTTCGTGGGCACGTCACCTGCCCATAAATGGATCTGATCGTATCATCCAGCTATTTTTTAAGATGCACGATATCATTCGGAAACTACTCAGAGAGAGAAAAGAAACTTTTGACCCGACAGAACCAGTGGAAGATTTTATGTCAGCATTGCTTAAAGCCCAACACGACTTCGAGGAGGAATGTGAGAACGCTGAAGAGAGGTCTACTCTGCTTTCTGAAGACCACTTCATCGCGGCAATTGAGGATATGTTTTTTGCTGGTTACGAAACCACCAGCACGATATTGAGATTTGCCCTTGCTTTCTTAGCCAATAATCCAAAATACCAGGAAGAAATACAACACCAGTTAGATGAAGTGCTTGGGAGTCGCAGACCCTCGTTGGACGATCGCCCAAAATTGCCACTCATTCAAGCAACGATCTTGGAAGTACTGAGGCTTGGAAACGTGCTACCTCTAGCAGTTCCTCATGTAGCGGTAAACGACACAACTCTCGGTGGATACCGTGTCCCGAAGGGCACAGTTGTCTATCCTAACACAGAAGCTGTTCATCTTGATCCCAAATGTTGGGAAAACCCGACCGTGTTCAATCCGTACCGCCACATAGACGCAGAAGGCAAGCTGATCACCAACCAAGGAAATTTCTATCCCTTTGGAGCTGGTCGCCGCTCTTGCGCCGGTGAATCCCTGGCCAAGGTTGAACTGTTCTTGTTTTCCTCGTGGTTGCTTCAGAGCTTTACTTTTGTTCCCGAGGACGGACATCCACCCAAACCCAAAGCAGGTCTTGTCCAGTTTCCTTCTTCCTACACCATACGTGCCATCAAAAGGAAGTGAACTGAGCATGACATTCACCACTTTAGGAACGAGAAGGAAACTGAGCTTTGTTAACTTTCGCAAAGACTTCTGGTACTGTTACTAGTCACAAGGATCAAATTGTCCAATAGCTGACCTGTGTGTCTCCAGTAACGATCCTAGAACAATTGCGACACAGTCATTTCGGCTCTAGTTCCCTTTTCTTTACTTGTTGTTGACGAAGCAAGTTTACTAGATAAAGGACTCTCCAATAGACTCTAATATTAGGAAGTGACGTTCTCAATAAACTGTTAAAATTTGTAACCAGATAACTCTTTCCACCTCTGTGGCTTTTGTTTTAGCTTGTTTTTCTCTTGATTGATGACCCAAGTGCAAAATAAGGATCCGTCATTTACTTTATTATTATTTTGGTTTCTTTATTTGGATTAAGCTAGAAAAAGAACCCTTACAAGGAATTCATTTGCAGGGCTTAACGAACAAACAAACAAAGCAATCGAAACCGCACTATACAAAAATATTTGATAGCTTTTTCGTTGAGATAGCCACACTTATAGCAGCAGATTCGGAGAAAATCACGTTTATGACGATGAAGTGACTACCGGTATTCTAGTACGATGACTACTATGAAACAATTCCGCCGTACCGGATGACATCATTGGCCCCCAGCTGCGCCATTTACGTGTTTCTCATAACATTTTTAAACACCATATTGTAGGCAACTTAACAAAAAAATAATTAAAAGTAAAAAAAAGAAAGAAAGAAAAAAAGAATCAAAATATCGTATTCAACGAACTATAGAGCGGGTAGTCCAGCTATCCATCCCTCCACTTGTACCGCGGCGGGTAAGTCCGAGGAATTAATTAATTCCTGGTCTTCAACAACGATTACATAAGATCAAGTGATCAGTTTTATTAATATGGCAAGGACAATCGCTTGCTTTTCAGTTTCTCTGCAGTAACTATATACTGTAGCGAAATACACTCCTTGGTTGGCCAGTTAACATGGATTGAATTTCGGTCTGACTTATAAATTCCGTTGTCTACCTTTCCATACCTCGCGCTCCGTTATGCATGAAGGCCTCCACATTTTTCCGCCACTACCGTCTTGAAAAGCCTGTCTGGTTTCAGTAATGATATCTTTTTACGGGGATGGGTAATTAACCCATCGCCCTTGCCTAGTCCCTATACGGCGTCTTTCCAGGCCCTCTCGGTCAATGCATTTCGGTGACGTATCCGAGACGAACGGCCGGGAGACGCCTAGACAATCTCGGAGTGCGCATGCGTGAGCATTTTTGAAAAGTTCCCACGTTCAACTGAAATAATCTATAATTAACTTTGCGCGTGAATATCCTTCGCTTAAAGATCGGCACTAACCTGGTTTTTGTTATCAAAGAACAAAAATATTACTTTGAATCGGAAAGAATACTACTGTATAACGTGCAAGTAATTTCTCTTTTAGTTCATTTTCAAATGAACCATTAAAATGATATATCTTTATTGATAAAAAGATTTGAAACAGTAGTTTGTTGACATTCTACCAAATTTAGAGACCAAATTCAACAGCCTGTCCGATTAGTTTGATAAGCTTCCAAATCAAAAACTTAAATTACATAAAATACTTCGAAGTGAAATGATAACGAGAAATTTATAGGAGCAAGCGAAAGTAGGGAAACGATGGATAGCTTTTCATATCCAAGAATAAATATAAACTTTTTTCTTTAGTTTACCTTCCTATTCTTGATCAAATAAGTTTTTGCGACGCTGTTTTGCTTAGCCTACAAATAGTTTTTAAGATGAAATAAATTTCAAATTAGTTTAATGAGATAAATGAAAAAGAAAGGCCAAAAGAATTTCAACAATGAAAACGTGCATGGAATAAAAATGCTCGGTTTTAACTCTTTATCCTCTGTACTCTCCATAGCTGCTAGACATCTTTCATCAGCACGGAAAAGTTGTTGACAGCTCGCCCGCTTCCAAAAGCTCCGCCCCAAGTGAGACAAAATGTCTCACTTCTCCGAGTTTGTCTAGGCCTCAAAAACGTTCTCTGACCACGTGACTCGAAACGCATCGGCCGCGATGAGGCCTAGGGACTAGGCAACCATCGCCCAACCCTCAATGGAGTTTGTCTAAATGTCGCGGGTGCGGGTGGGGGTGTGGGTAAAGGTCGCTGGTACATAAATTACCAAATTTAACTAAAAGGTAAAATTGACAACAAAACAAACATTTCGGAGCCGCTCGAGAAGAAAAACTTGACAACAGAATCAGGCTAAACAAAAATACGATATAAAAATTGCTTAAATAAAGTTCGTATAAATTCAGACACGAATAACTCAGGAAGACAAAAAAAAAATCGTACTTATTTTACGCATGTTAAACCACAAACTGTCGTGACTTAATATGACCCTTAAACTTTGAATTTTATGAGAGAATGTTTGGGAATAAAGAAAATATCCTAAACGATAGAGCTTGAACGACACAAATAAACAGTCAGTATTTCAAATACGTTTAAAATATATCGATTACCGCGAAATTCAATTATAACTGGAACTGAGTTCTGGCTCAACGGAACTGTCGGATTCCATCAGGAAAAAGAATCATATCAATCGATCGAAGTAAACTTCTTCATTTTTGTCACTCTGGGAAATCAGACCTATGAATGAAAGTTTTACACACGTGCACGGGTACTGTTGCCATGACCACTCTTTCTTATTTTACTGATCAAGCCGCCAGTAACGTGGGAAAAATTCGATTTACCAGGATGGCAAATTCTTTCGTGCAATTAACCGCACCAAAACTGAGCGCGAACGACGAATGGCAACTCTCGGTACATACTTTTTGCTGAGGAAGTAAGTATGTACGCAAGTCTGATTTAGTACAAAAAAAAGTGAAAGCTGTATTTTCGATGAACCAAATCATCTATTCATATTTACATAGGGTAAAAACCACCTCTTTCAAGTTACATAAGCTGACACTGCGGACCCTTGAATAAAGAAGGGGCCAAGAAGGAGAGAGAAAACATAGGGGGAGGTCAAGAATGTGGTTCAAGGGGAGGGAAGATTTTTTTATTAAAGAAATAGTCACCTTTGTAAGATTTCGCTGGAGGTGTTAATCATTTCTTTTTGTTTAATATCAAGGGCCCGTAGTTGAAAAAAAAAATCAGTTCTAATTGAAGTATTATATGGTCTTCTTTAATGTAATGGCTATTTCTAACTCTTTCCTGTCTAGCCTAACACAGCGCTAAACCCACTAAACGTGAAGAGGGAAATGTACTAGGCATGGAGGAGAGAAGAGTTAAAACTGATCACTCGCAACATGGTAACTATTAAAACCCAGCTGGGAGATTACGCATTTATGCCCCCCAAATTAATTTCATTTGTCTTGGGTTACAGAAAAAAGAAAAAAAAGAAGTATTAGTTAAAGTAAGTTGCATTAGGATACCAGCTTTACACACTGCGCTTCTTCGGTCCGGAGTTTCGGCTGTTTAAAGTGGGCACTGAATTTTTACACTCCCTTTTCAATACACTTCGCTGCTACGTATAGGTAATAAAGAGGTTAGCAAAGGGCCAACTACTTTTTTTGTAATTCTGCAACTTTAAGTACCCTTAAACCCTAGGACGTACAAGGTAAGGGAAGTGAGCAACCTCTTCCCAAGGGCGCTTTTCCCTGGCTTTAATTTGCAGGTGGGGAGGGAATTTCCCTCCAAAGCCAGTGAAAAGCGCCCTAGAGACGAAGTTGGGGAGTGAGTGTAATCCCCGGAAGCCGGAAGGTTTTTTTGAATCAATCAACAAGACAAGTCATCACATATCCACACTTGGCGTCGGAGCGGGAGCTGGTGCGCAATACAAGAACCATAAAAAAAAAAAAAACTGAATGACTTTTGAAAACGTCATGCGGTCTGCAAAACAGCTACGTAAAATGACCAAATTCCATTTTCTGGATCAGAACTTGAACCTCCCCCTACAAATTCCAAACGCAGCTATTTCGGTTACTTTGTGCAAATTTAACTAGCCAATCTAGTTTTAATCATATAGATTTTTCTCTAACGACTTTGTCGTTTGTATCGCTCTTAGTTAGCTTTAAATGACTAGACCGTTATGACCTGTGGACCAAAAAAAGTATTGCAAATCTTCTTTGAAACATAATCAATTTTCCTTTAATTTTCTGATGTTAACCGGCGACCTTTACCCGCATCCGCGACATATAGATATACTCCCCTCAATGCAATCTGGAGGGCTGGGCGTTGCAATTCGTCTGGCCTTTCACCCAAAAACTGCCTTACAAGGTTGAACCCGAGCAGGGTCCCAACTGGTATTAGCTTCCAATATCACCATTGCACGCATTCCTCAAACACTGATCACTTTTGGTCGTTTATCTTTGCGTGAAGCTTATGACACTGGCGATAATATTATTTTTATTCATGATTGTGGGATCCCTACTAGGAATCGTTACCTTACATTTAAACAATTGTTCTTTGGACTTGTCCCGGTGACCCTATAAAAAACTGACTATTATACAAAGCAATTACCTTATCAAGTTTCTTATTCCCACAAGTTAAACACAGAAGACTCATTAATACAGTTCATGAGTCATATGAAAATCAACTCCGGGAGATCTCACGATAGGGAATTTCTCTAAAAGAGCTAAACGGCATATCTGTATACACTTCTCCATTTACTGCAAACAATAACAAAGACTTAATTTAGATGTTCTCAACGCGGCTTCCGGCTTCGTTTCTAACAGTCTCTTTACTCGGCGTGAAAGCTTAGCTCTGAAGAATCAACATAAATTTAGCCTGTTAGTCAATCAAAATCGTATTAACTTACACGATTAACAATAGCCCAGTTCTTAAAGTAGTTAACTAATTTAACAAATAGATCTTAACTCTTCAACGAACAAGGCCGCTTTTAAGGATGACTGGCCCACTGTTCTTTGTCAAACCTAACAATCTTTCTGTTTCTTAATTAAGGTTGAGTTCAAAGTTTTCAGTTCTTGTTGCTAGTCTTCACAACTGAGCCACTTCAAGAGTCTGGTACCGAACCAAATTAATTCACAAGTCTTTTAAGACCATGGCGATAATTACTGCTTGAAATAAACAAAATAGTCGGATTTATAGCACAGTTTGCGAAAGCCAGATAGTAGGTAAAAATATAAAACACTCTAAAACTGCAACTTTTCGGTTCCAAAAACAGATATATCAGCACATTGGTGTAAGAGGTTATCCAGCAAAGAAAAAACGCTAACACGATAGCAATGGCCATTTTCAACACGTTTTGATTTCTTTTTTCTCGCTGTTTGTCAGCATTAGCTGACTGTTCTCCTGGATGTGCCTGTTTCTTAAGTTTGATCAGGATGATGGAATACACTGCAAACAACAAGATCACTGGGACGTAAAAGAACACGCTAACACCTGCCACTATGTAAGTGACAAAGCTTTTTTCTCCGAAGGTTTCCGCCCACAGACTCTCGCACTTCATTTCTCCTGGATTTTCAACGAGTTTGTAAGCAAACAGATATGGCGAGGTAACGGCCATCGCCACAATCCACGTTGTCAGAATAAAGAAAGGACACAGCTTGCGACTGATGAGTGGGGAACGTAGTGGAACTACGACAGCTCCAAATCGATCAACTGCTATCAGAACCAAACTCTGAACCGACACCAAGGAGGATGCCTCAACAAGAAAAGCCTGTAGCTTGCACAAGATCTGACCAAGAACACCACTGATAAGCCACGAGTCAACGTGTAAATCTAATAGGCACTTAGGGAGCAAGAATATTGGAAACAACAGGTCAGACAGGGCCATGTTTGCGATCAAAAAATTTATCGGCTTTCTTAAGTTTGGTGTTTTGTAAACAATGATTCCGATGAGAGAGTTTCCAACCAGCGAAACAACGAAGATCAAACTTAAAGCAATGGTTTTCCCAGTTTTTACTGCAGCCGAATTTAGACTGGAGCAGTTCCAGGAGCCATTCCATGGAGCAGTTCCATTTGTTGTTGTGTTCATGTCTACCACTTTACCAGTCTCTCTACAGGTCTGTTCCCGAAAGGTCTTAATGTTCTTCAGCAGCCGCCTACTTCCCGTAGTTACCCTAAATGCTGTACTAATAACGTACTGAAGCCTTTCATAAATTAGAGCCCCCGCTAAGAGTTTTCGCCTCGTTTTCCTACCAGGAAATTAGGTAAATGTTCCAGGCGCTATATATATTAAGCATGAAAATGCCTTCAAGATTGTTCACAACTTTTGTGCACTATGTATTTGTTTTTTGTTTATTTTGTTGTTTTTTTTGTAACGATATCTTTCGACCTGAATAATGCGCTAGTCTCGCTATTTTAGGGAGAGTATGACAATTATTAGTCAATGAAAACTGCAAACGGTGAAATAGAAAAAAAGGCTAATGGAAATTGTTTTCAGGCGTTTTATTAAAGGGAACTTTAATAGTCCTACTTTTTATGCACGCTATTTTAGGATGAGTATGACAATTATTAGTCAATGAAAATGCAAACGGTGAAATAGAAAAAAAGCTAATGGAAATTGTTGTCAGGCATTTCATAAAGAGGAACTTTAATAGTCCTACTTTTTATGCATCGGTTTATTTTCATTTCCATTCCCGGGACAATGAGGACTTTTTTTTTTCTTTTTCTTTTTCTTTGGAACTTGTTACGTTTAAATGATCACACAGCTGATCCATTTTACTTAGGGTATGTCTGTCGTCAGATAACGGTTAGTTAGGAATACTGTTTACTTTTAACCATTTTATTGTTCTTTAATTGTTTCAGCTGTTTTTGTGTCCGCTAACTAACAATTGTAGAAAAACCAACAGTGTTCCTTAACAAACAAAACTAATTGCTCGTCCTCCAAAATTTAGCAAAACCTTTCATATTCCAAATTTATCTGCCACCTCTGCTTAACAAGCAACTTAATGAAAGATATATTCGCAAATAAATATAGGAACTGATGTTCGCCCTGAGGAGGCTGTTTAATTAAGAATAATGCTAAGCCTTTTAATTTATTTTCTCCGGTGTTTCTTTAGCATTTATACAAAAACAGTTTGTTTTGATCCCAACTGAAATTTTATGGTAAACACGCGCGCTTTCGTAAGTATACTAGAAAGACCGAAAGATCTCGTTTACCTCTTCTTTGTTTAAATAATTCGTGCGAGAGGAGATATATGAAATTGATTAAGTTCACAGCAGTATTGGCGTTTTACAACCAGCACTATTATACGTATAATTACAAATATTAAAAAAGGAAGACGACTTTTTCAGTTGTATTCATTCATTTCTTTATTTACTATCAGTTTCCTCATTTTTTAAGGTGACACGATTCTACCTCATCTGTTTAAAAAGCGATGGTCTTTGCATTAGACTGCTTTAACTTTCGCTTCAATCGATTATGACCCAAGATGTTTAAAGTCAATTTTTTCTGTATACCGCCAACTTGTTATAACGATCAAATGTTGTCTTCCGTTTTAATAACGCATATATTTACCCCCCAACTTCATTACAAACTGTTTTCCTGAATCCCTAAAATGCTTTGGCTTTTTTATCTGTTTTATAGTATTCAATTAGTTTCGTTTAATGAGGCAATTTAGTTTTAAAGGTGTCCCCAATTAGTGCCAATAGGCACCAAAACGATTAGACACTTTAATAAAGGCTATGTATGCATGTATGTTCCCATGAATTCAAAAAAGCAAACACCAGTGCAGTCATCACTCTTTCACTTCACGTTACTATTTTTCTCTCTTTTCCCAATAAAACAGAAGTCTGACCCACCTAGAAACTCTTTCACACATTTTCTACAGTTTTTTCTTTTAATTAACAAATTTTCAACTGCAAATAAAGATATAAAAAGTGGAAATGATCCTCGCATGCAGCTGAGGAAACAAAACGCAAACGCGCCAGGGCTCGATTCACGGCGGTCAAGCCTGAATGTTTTCAGCTGCTTTTTCAACCGCTTATTTGATAAGCCTTTTATTCAACTACGAAGATCATTTCCACTTTTCATAACAATTTATGGTAAACACTCTCTTTTGTTATTCATAGAAAGACCAGTAGATTTTGTTTTTCTTTCTTTCTTATTTGACAATTACCTTATCAAGTTTCTTATTCCCACAAGTTAAACACAGAAGACTCATTAATACAGTTCATGAGTCATATGAAAATCAACTGGGAGATCTCACGATAGGGAATTTCTCTAAAAGAGCTAAACGGCATATCTGTATATACACTTCTCCATTTACTGCAAACAATAGCAAAGACTTAATTTAGATGTTCTCAACGCGGCTTCCGGCTTCGTTTCTAACAGTCTCTTTACTCGGCGTGAAGGCTTAGCTCTGAAGAATCAAAATAAATTTAGCCTGTTAGTCAATCATTATCGTATTAACTTACCCGATTAACAATAGCCCAGTTCTTAAAGTAGTTAACTAATTATAACAAATAGATCTTAACTCTTCAACGAACAAGGCCGCTTTTAAGGATGACTTGCCCACTGTTCTTTGTCAAGCCTAACAATCTTTCTGTTTCTTAATTAAGGTTGAGTTCAAAGTTTTCAGTTCTTGTTGCTAGTCTTCACAACTGAGCCACTTCAAGAGTCTGGTACCGAACCAAATTAATTCACAAGTCTCTTAAGACCATGGCGATAATTACTGCTTGAAATAAACAAAATAGTCGGATTTATAGCACAGTTTGCGAAAGCCAGATAGTAGGTAAAAACATAAAACACTCTAAAACTGCAACTTTTCGGTGCCAAAAACAGATATATCAGCAAGTTGGTGTAAGAGGTTATCCAGCAAAGAAAAAACGCTAACACGATAGCAATGGCCATTTTCAACACGTTTTGATTTCTTTTTTCTCGCTGTTTGTCAGCATTAGCTGACTGTTCTCCTGGATGTGCCTGTTTCTTAAGTTTGATCAGGATGATGGAATACACTGCAAACAACAGGATCATTGGGATGTAAAAGAACACGCTAACACCTGCCACTATGTAAGTGACAAAGCTTTTTTCTCCGAAGGTTTCCGCCCACAGACTCTCGCACTTCATTTCTCCTGGATTTTCAACGAGTTTGTAAGCAAACAGATATGGCGAGGTAACGGCCATCGCCACAATCCAAGTTGTCAGAATAAAGAAAGGACACAGCTTGCGACTGATGAGTGGGGAACGTAGTGGAACTACGACAGCTCCAAATCGATCAACTGCTATCAGAACCAAACTCTGAACCGACACCAAGGAGGATGCCTCAACAAGAAAAGCCTGTAGCTTGCACAAGATCTGACCAAGAACACCACTGATAAGCCACGAGTCAACGTGTAAATCTAATAGCCACTTAGGGAGCAAGAATATTGGAAACAACAGGTCAGACAGGGCCATGTTTGCGATCAAAAAATTTATCGGCTTTCTTAAGTTTGGTGTTTTGTAAACAATGATTCCGATGGGAGAGTTTCCAACCAGCGAAACAACGAAGATCAAACTTAAAGCAACGGTTTTCCCAGTTTTTACTGCAGCCGAATTTAGACTGGAGCAGTTCCAGGAGCCATTCCATGGAGCAGTTCCATTTGTTGTTGTGTTCATGTCTACCACTTTACCAGTCTCTCTACAGGTCTGTTCTCGAAAGGCCTTAAGGTTCTTCAGCAGCCGCCTACTTCCCGTAGTTACCCTAAATGCTGTACTAATAAAGTACTGAAGCCTTTCATAAATTAGAGCCTCCGCTAAGAGTTTTCGCCTCGTTTTCCTACCAGAAAATTAGGTAAGTGTTCCAGGCGCTATATATATTAAGCATGAAAATGCCTTCAAGATTGTTCACAACTTTTGTGCACTATGTATTTGTTTCTTGTTTATTTTGTATTTTTTTTGTAATGATATCTTTCGACCTGAATAATGCGCTAGTCTCGCTATTTTAGGGATGAGTATGACAATTATTAGTCAATGAAAATGCAAACGGTGAAATAGAAAAAAGCTAATGGAAATTGTTGTCAGGCGTTTTATTAAAGGGAACTTTAATAGTCCTACTTTTTATGCATCGGCTTATTTTCATTTCCATTCCCGGGACAATGAGGACTTTTTTTTTTCTTTTTTCTTTTTCTTTGGAACTTGTGACGTCTAAATGATCACACAGCTGATCCATTTTACTTAGGGTATGTCTGTCGTCAGATAACGGTTAGTTAGGAATACTGTTTACTTTTAACCATTTTATTGTTCTTTAATTGTTTCAGCTGTTTTGTGTCCGCTAACTAACAATTGTAGAAAAACCAACAGTGTCCCTTAACAAACAAAACTAATTGCTCGTTCTCTATAATTTAGCAAAACCTTTCATATTCAAAATTTACCTGCTGCCTCTACTTAACAAACAAGTTAATGAAAGATATACTCGCAAATAAATATAGGAATTGATGTTCGTCATGACGAGGCTGTTTAATTAAGAATAATTCTAAGCCTTTTACTTTATTTTCTCCAGTGTTTCTTTAGCATTTATACAAAAACAGTTTATTTTGATCCTAACTGAAATTTTATGGTAAACACGCGCGCTTTCGTAAGTATACTAGAAAGACCGAAAGATCTCGTTTACCTCTTCTTTGTTCAAATAATTCGTGCGAGAGGAGATATATATGAAATTGATTAAGTTCACAGCAGTATTGGCGTTTTACAACCAGCACTATCATACGTATAATTACAAATATTAAAAAAGGAAGACGACTTTTTCTATTGTATTCATTCATTTCTTTATTTTCTATCAGTTTCCTCATTTTTTAAGGCGACACGATTCTACCTCATCTGTTTAGAAAGCGATGGTCTTTGCATTAGACTGCTTTAACTTTCGCTTCAATCGATTATGACCCAAGATGTTTAAAGTCAATTTTTTCTGTATACCGCCAACTTGTTATAACGATCAAATGTTGTCTTCCGTTTTAATAACGCATATATTTACCCCCCAACGTCATTACAAACTGTTTTCCTGAATCCCTAAAATGCTTTGGCTTTTTTATCTGTTTTATAGTATTCAATTAGTTTCGTTTAACGAGGTAATTTAGTTTTAAAGGTGTCCCCAATTAGTGCCAATAGGCACCAAAACGATTAGACACTTTAATAAAGGCTATGTATGCATGTTTGTTCCCATGAATTCAAAAAAGCAAACAATAAAATAGAAGTCTGACCCACCTAGAAACTCTTTCACACATTTTCTACAGTTTTTTCCTTTAATTACCAATTTTGAACTGCAAATAAAGATATAAAAAGTGGAAATGATCCTCGCATGCAGCTGAGGAAACAAAACGCAAACGCGCCAGGGCTCGATTCACGGCGGTCAAGCCTGAATGTTTTCAGCTGCTTTTTCAACCGCTTATTTAATAAGCTTTTTACTCAACTGCGAAGATCATTTCCACTTTTCATAACAATTTATGGTAAACAGTTTCTTTTGTTATTCATAGAAAGACTTGACCAGTAGATTTTGTTTTTCTTTCTTTCTTATTTGACAATTTATTTTTGTCTGCACATGTCTGAAGATCTTAGGATAACGGGAGGAGCTGTGCTAAACTCATTTCACCCTTTTTATTGTTATTATTATAATTTTTCATTATTAAAACGAGTCTACCTACGAGTCTACCTACGATGTTCTTTATACATAGAATGGATCAGGAGCACCCAACTACTGTTATCTGTAAAATATCTGTTCGGAGAAGCACAATGTTGCCTAGAATGTTCTTTTGTATGAGGACAGCTAAAAATGTCTACTAGATGAACGTTCCATTCATGTTCAGTTTTGGAAAGTTATCTAATAAATTCCCTACAATTTTCTGAAGTTTAATTTTTCACATTTTACTACCTAGCTTACACTATTCTTCTTAGAAAAAGGAAACCGAAAATTTTCTGATTCTAAAATGTGATGGACAGAGGAATCAGATAAATTCTGACTTTCCTAAAACGTTAAATTGCACCTAAAATTTTCGGGAAATAATACTGATGCCCTTGTAATTTCGAAAAGCCTCAAGTTCCCCTATGATGAGTGAACAGGATGATGGAGTAAAGTAACAAAAACAGAACAAATGGGATGTATAAAAACATGATAGCAACTGCAAGAAGGTAGTTACTACATGTAGTTTCTCCGAAGGCTTCCGGCCACGGTTTCTTGCACTTTATGCCCCTTGGGTATTCAACAAGTTGGAAAGCAACAAAATATGGCGAACGAACGGCCATTGTCACAATCCATGTGGCAAGAATGAAGAAGCGACAAAACTTGCGACTGATGAGCGGAGAGCGGAGTTGAACTACAGTAGCTTGAAATCGATCCACTGTTATCAGAATAAGGCTTTGAAACGACACCAAAGTGGAAGCGTCTGCAAGGAAACTTGGTAGCTTACACAAGGCTTGACCAAGGGGACCACCAATTAGCCACCCGTCAAATGCAAGGTGCAGAAGTGTAAGACGAGAAAGGAAGAGGAATATAGGATACAGCAGGTCGGACAAAGCCATGTACTGTTTGCGATCAAAAAGTTTATTGGTTTTCTTAAGTTTGGTGTTTTGTAAACAATTATTCCGATGAGAGAATTTCCAATCAGCGAAACAACAAGGATCAAACTTAAGGCAATGGTTTTTCTAGCTTTTGCTGCTGACGAATTCATCAGAAGCTGCCACTCCAAGAACTTGAACCATTTGTTGTGGCGTTCATGTCTGTGCAGTTCAGTGTTCGCGGTAGGTTGAGTATCCCTCAAACAGCTGCTGTTAGTTATGATCATGAGGTAACATTAGTGAATGACCTTTTTAATTTTAAGCACTTTGAATTTGGAAATTTGTGAAACGTTTTATGATCTATTCGACATAATTGATGTGCTTGATGCCGGATAAAAATGAAACTTGTTAGCCGATACAAATGGACATTTCAAAAAGGGCTATTTTGATTGGCTTACGACCGCTTCTTCGGTGGTATTTAGTACTTTAATCGACAGTTTAATACAACTAACGTTTAGGCTTTCAACAATGATATAAAGGCTATTATTATGCATTAAAAAAACGCATTTTGCCGTTTCTGATTGGCTCCCCTGAATTATTTTTCATAACCTACTGTCGCTTACCATATTTGAAAGATACGGAAAGATTCTTCAAGCCAAAGGTTTGAAGAAAGAGAAGGTAGTCTTGTGGAGAACGTAGACACGTAGTTTGAATGAATAATGAAACAATTAGTATTGAATTCAGCTTTCACTTGTGAAGAAATATGATGATCTCGAAGGCTGATACCACATAACACTTTCCCTGATCTACATAATTATATTCGTCACATCACTCAGTCTATTCAGCCTCATTTAACAGTCTTTAATTAACAAGACCAGAATCTGACTCGGCTTAAAAGCATTTTTCACGGAATTTCTTTAAATATATTATCGCCAACTTACTATTATGGTCAAATTCTGTCTTCACGTTGGGCAACGTACTAATTGACTTCAAATCCCAATCTCGACCCCAGAGCTCTTATGCGCGTGACGGCCAGGGAGGACGAGCTCTGAGGAACCCTGGAAATAGATTATCTCTGATCGCACGGGAGCGTTTGAATGTGCGGTGTGCCTGGCTTGTGAGCGGGTTTCCCCCCTAAAACTGTTGAAGTAAAGGATTAAATTAACTGCAAAAACCGTGGACGAAGATCCTGCTAGTTGTAAACGTTGGATCTCTAGAAAAGAGATCAAATCAGCCAAAATATAAAGAACCAAGAACGAGCAGTCAAAAGACTACTGCAAAGCTGATTTAAAACAACGTGTATTGTTTTTTATAACAATATTTCGGCTGGCCATACCAGCCTTCTTCAGGTTTACAGATGTTACTAAACCTGAAGAAGGCTGCTATCAGTGTGGTATGGCCAGCCGAAATGTTGTTATAAAAAACAATTCACGTTGTTTTAAATCAGCTTTGTTGAAGTAAACACGCCTGGCTGATCGATGGGCAGCTACTCCGGCCGATTCTTGATTTCAGCGATTCAAAACAACATTTGCACGACTAACCACAGGCGGCCCAAACTCTGTGGGAGTTCGTTGGGACTTTGATGTTTGGATGATGGATTCTCCAAGGAAACAATGTATAAAAATCAAAGCCCCCCCCCCCCCCCCCCCCAAAAAAAAAAAAAAAAAAAGATAAAATAAAATAAAATAAAAATTTAGAAAAATAAAATACTCCAGCCAGGATCAGGACAGGTTGGCGTAAAGGGAAGCGTCTTCTTTAAGGGAACTAAAACTTGCGGCCGCTGATAGGTTCACTAGTCGCCACATGGACCTCGCACCCCCACGTTTTCGGATGGTAAAATATATATATATTTTTTACTTTGGTTACCCTGATCTGTCAGTTACCACACAAATAAAGTTTAGTAATCTGACAATACTGAACACCCACAAACAGAAAACTGACAAGCTTTGTCCTGTAGCTGTTGCCAAGGAGTTTTCAGCTCTTAATGACAAGTCTTTTCATTTAAATTTTGGTCTAACGCGGGGGCCAGGTTGTAACTTGCTGTTTTAAGTGCTGATGTAATAATTACAAATTTATATTACTAGTGGCAGTTTTAGATGCATTTATAGCCATTACAGAAGACTTAGATTTGAAAATTTTCAGGGGGAACATGCCCACGGACCCCCCTTGTTTGCTCACGCTTGCGCGTTCGCATTAGCGCACCCCCCCCCCCCCCCCCGTCCCCACTTGAAAATCCTCTCCGCGAGTAGCCTGAGTATCAGGCGTTTCTCTCCTAGCCCCGTAGGAAGGCCTGATACTCAGGCTACTCCGCGAACCCTAAGGGAATCCACGTTCTTGGATTCTAGATTTCACGTTGTGGATTCCGTATTGTCAGGAGCCCATCAAATGGAGCCTCCATCTCCATTAATTTCTTGAGTCAACCCTTTCCCGAGTAGATTTATAAATAGAACGGCTTGTTTCCCGCGAAAAGTGTCACATTTCCGTGAGTCTCGTATGTCACCGTGAAAAAAATGAAGTTGGATGAAGTCAAACTCAGAAGCCCATCCTTCGACCGTTTTCCTTTTTAGTATATGTCCATTTTTATCATCTTACAACCGCTGGGATCTGGGTATCATGAAATAAAAGTTAATGAATTACCCGAATGAGACTGAGCATGAAGCGATGGGACAAAGGCAGCGAACTGAGGATCACTGAAAGGTTATCTTTGCGAGTGTTTTTATTTGTCGTCATACATTCAACATGGAAGCATGCACTTCGAAAGAGTCGACGATTAAGCGTTCTGTGGACGATTTGGAACTTTTCGATGATCAGCGCCGAAAAAGTGCTAGGATCATGATTTGATTTTTGTCATCACCGTGGAGTGGATTTCGCCAGTTAAGAACCGCGTACAAAAGCGATGACTTAAGTAGCAACTATCGAGGAATGCTTTATTTCCGAAATTTGAGAAATTGCAGTCTTGCTCTACAACTGACTCGCATCACCATGACAGTTGCCTGATAAAACTGGCACTTGAAAAGTTGAACAGAAGAGAACAGTTGCTCGAACGTGAAGCTAACTCAAAAGTAATTTGCTAACGGAGGAATTTGTGACATCGCGCTCCAGTCCAGAGACCCATCCACTTGTCTCAAGAAAAACAAAATGGATTGTATCTGCGACAAAAGAATTATGATTGACTGACAGGACAATTCTCAGCAGTTAATGTAGCTTAAGTTTACGCTCAATTCTTTCTTTCGAATTCGCATCTGTAGATCACTTTTTTGCGAGAAGACAATGGCTGGGCCCGGTGTGACAAAACATAGCAGGGAATCATCACACCAGCTGACGGACAAAACAACCACAAGGACTACAAGTATTTTTTCAGATAAACGGATTTCGGAAAAAAAACCTTGAAAAACTAGAAATTTGATTAATATTGAGTCATTTAGCCGAAATAATAACCTTAACGCTTAAAAAAATTGGCTAAAGAAAACGAATCCTGTCAGAACTACAGACTGCAGGTAGTAGTTAATCATTATGCATCTAAGCAGCCAAAATTAAGATTAACATAGTCAGAGTTTAAAACTCTCCACAGTATAATCTACCAGCTAGAAAGAAAAGAAAGAAAATCTCTGAAGGATGAAAACGCTAAAGTCACGTTTCACTTGCTCATGATTGTGTTTGGCCTGTCAACACCGAATTTTCTGTTGTTTGATGAAGTACAATAGCAGTGTCATTTCGTCGTTGTGATTGGCTCTTCCCACCGTCGGCGCGCGAAGTCTCCCCTGGAGATGGAGGCTCCATTTGATGGGCTCCTGGTATTGTAGTATTAGTGGGATTCGGGATTGTTTGAGCAGTATCCCGGTTTTCAAATCAGGTTAGGGTTCAAAATTCCTTTGCCAAAATTAAAACATAAAGATTAAGTAAATAAACATTGCTAGATTCCGGAATTTCCCGAAATCCGGAATCCCGATCACCTTACAAGGGGCGACTTACATAATGCAATTCACGCATACTAATTAACAGGTTTGCATTGATTACTATGATATTTTTAATGGAATTTTTAACCACACATGAGTAAGTTCTAAGCCTACATGCATAAATAGGATTATGACTTATCATGTCGTCTGTCTTTGCCGCTATTCACGATTCTCTCAACCTTGGAAATGTTTTTCTGCTGTCACTTCTTGTGTTTCTTCTGCATCACTTGATGGTCCTCTACGAGTTCAGAAACATGCCACCGGGTCCACGTTTATCCTCCCTTCCTGTGTTAGGGAACATATTTTCCCTCGAAGTTAACGCCGAGAAATTAACGGACGCCTTCCGAAGGTCAGTATGATGAATCGATCATCGAAGTCGTTTGCCACAGTTGACACTGTAAAATGATTCGAATGATCATTTATTATAAATCATTTATCAAAACCATTCCTCAGTTGATTTCAATTGGGAATACAGTTATAGAAAAATTGCCGAGTTCACTGCAGTAACATCACAGAATGGAAATTGTTGTGCGAACTATTTTTATTCACTTGCATATTTTATGTGACTTATGGCCACGGCTTATGGCCACTGAACAGTCTATTTGCTAACGTTTCGCCCCACCTAAAGTAATCCGGATTTCGGAATAAAAGAAAACAAGGTGTTTTGTTGAATGTGGAATCTTGAGCTTTGGAATCCGCAATTCAGCTCAGGGAATCCAGAATCAATGTTCCACTGACAAGGACTCCGCAATCCAGTTATTACATCATGATATATAAGTATAAGCATAAAATTTACTCCAGGGGGGATACTCTCCTATAAAAGTAACGGGTGTGCTCGTCGTTTAAATTTGCGGCCCGCTTAGGGCGCTAAAATCTAAAATGACTGCTGCCAGAGTTGCCTCGGTAAGATTTATGACAATACTTCCAAATAGTCTTTGAGAAGAAAGTGTTCGAAAGCTATTTTCATTACCATTAAAATTTGGAGTGCCAGTTATATAATTTGTTGTTGCTGAATTGGTGCCTGTTAGGGGTGGAAATGAATTTGGGACACGCACGTAAAACAAGATTGTGGTACCTTTTAGGGGTGTTCTCGAAATTTTCCGACAAGCAGTCTCGTCACTTTTATGGGGGAGTACCACCCCTTTGGAATAAGAGTATAAGCACTAAATTGATGTAGACGTATTAAATTCTGCAAGCAGAAGACTGCGATACTGATCGTACTACGTGAAAATTAACTCTGCACGACATCAACACGACACCGAAAGAACTCAAAACAGAGCGGGATTGTAGCCTAGACAGCTGTTTCGCCCTTTTTGGGGTTCGTCAGTATGGCGCAACAACCAGAGAAAACTCTTATGAAAAATATCCGCGCACTCTGATTTTAAGCCCTGACCTAGAACTCTCAACACCCACGGAATCACGCCATAGCACGTGTCTTCTGGGGGGGCAAGAGTCCAAGTGTCAAATTGCTGTCTCGCAGGGAAAAAAAATAAAGAATTGGCCAAAACCAATTGCAAAAACATGGACAAAATCATGCAAGAATTGCAGCATATCGGATCTATAAAAGATCTACGGCCCAAAAATTCATAAAATACAAACATTAACCACAAAGGACTTCAAAGGACGGCAAACGAACTATGCCGAAGAACGTAGGATGTTAATTTCTCAACGATGGTTTAAGTTAAGTATATTGTAGTGAATAGAAAGGTCAGTCTTCGTCCAGGGATCACCTTTTTTAAGACTTAATTCATACATCCGGACTCCATTGTTCGATAGGGGGATAATACTGTCAGTCTAAACTCTATACAGTGGATAACGCAATTGGTTTGATCTCTAATACTTATCCGCTATATAGTGATTTATCCGGTGGATAGAACTAATTCAACGTTAGACTAATTCGGGCCTGAGGTGTAAAAGGGGGTTGCTCATACTCAGCCTCGCTCGCCAGTGATGCGGGGGGGGGGGGGGGGGGGGGTGATGGAAGCCCTCCCTAGAGTTTTTAATATGTTGCACTATTTCGAAACGGTTTTGCCTTCAGTGGAAAGCCTTTGATCTTCACAACGATATAAGGTATATCTTATGAGTGGTGGCGCCACAAGAGGCCTGTGACGTCACCAACGATGGCTGCCATCTTGCCCTCCATCTTGGATTTTACCAAGAATTAGAAGTCAGGTTAAAACCGCAAGAAATGGTAATTTCTTGCGCTTGACATACAAAATAACACATAAATAAGCACTTTGCATCATTTTATCCACAATCTTTACTTTTTTGAAGGTGAGAAGACATGCATTTTCTCACAAAAATGGCTTGCCACCTGCTACTTATGACGTCATATCTCGTAACTATAATAACTATCACTAAAGGTCACAAGATAAGCAATAGGCCCTTGCGGTCATCCCACAGATAAAGTACGCTTGAGGAGGAGACCGCTGACCGCATTGGCTTGCAATTTAACTTGGCCTAAATTACATTTAGCCACATTAAACTTGTCTCAAAATGCGCGGTAAGGATAAACGAACAGCTTCTGAAAAGGTCATGTGCTGATGTTAAAATTTAGAAAAATCCTGGGGGGGGGGGGTTAGGAAGCCACCCCCCTCCTTGTACGTCCGAGGGTTAAGGGGAACGTTTCCTCTGTGGCATTGGTCGCCAGTGTTTGCTTATTTCTCACTTTTAGTTTTATGATTATTTTCTTGAGTCAACCCTTTCCCGAGTAGATTTGTAAATAGAACGGCTTGTTTCCCGCGAAAAGTGTCAAAGTGTATTTCCGTGAGCCAAGGAATTTTTGACATCGCTCTCCAGTCCAAAGACACTCTTATCTCAAGAAAAACAAAATGTATTGTGTCTGCGACAAAAGAATTATGACTGACTAACAGGACAATTCTCAGCAGTTAATGTAGAAGTTCAGGCTCAATTCTTTCCTTCGAATTCGCATCTGTAGGTCACTTTTTTGTGAGAAAACAATGGCTGGGCCCTGCGTTACAAAACATAGCAGGGAATCATCCCACTAGCTGGCGGACAAAACAACCACAAGTACTACAACTATTTTTTTCAGATAAACGCATTTCAGAAGGAAAAAAACCTTGAAAAACTAGAAATTTGATTAATATTGAGTCATTTAGCCGAAATGAAAACCTTAACGCTTAAAAAAAATTGGCTAAAGAAACGAATCCTTTCAGAACTACAGACTGAGGTAGTAGTTAATCATTATGCATGTAACAGGCCAGCTTCATGGTCTCTCAATGCGAGACACACAGCCAAAATTTTAAAGATTAACATAGTCAGAGTTTAAAACTCTCCACAGTAGAATCTACAGGCCAGAAAGAAGAGAAAGAAAATCTCTGAGGGATGAAAACGCTAAAGTCACGTTTCACTAGCTTATGATTGTTTGGCCTGTCAACACCGAATTTCCTGTTGTTTGATGAAGTACAATAGCAGTGTCATTTCGTCGTTGTGATTGGCTCTTCCCACCTTTGGCGCGCGAAGTCTCCCCTGGGAACCGTTCTAATTATAAATCTACTCGGGAAAGGGTTGGCTCCAAGGGCTTGTATGGGAGATGGAGGCTCCATTTGATGGGCTCCTGTGATTATTAAATCGTCACACAATTCGTTCATCCATCACTGTATTTACTATTGCAGCCTTAGGGAAAACTATGGTGGAATCTTTTCCCTGAAACTTGGAAGCTATAAGGTCGTCATGGCTGCAACTTCTGAGGCTGTTAAAGAAATGCTGGTGACGAAATCTGGGGACTTTGCTGGGAGGCCACAAACGTTTGCCTTCTATAACATAACCTTAGGTGTGTTTAGCTTAATGCTGACCCACAGTCGGAGACAAAATTAGTTGAGGTACTGACACTTTCCGTCCTTAGCTAGATTTGTCACTATCTCAGTTATAAAAAGGGTACTTTTAGCAAGCCCTCCTTCCCCTACCACACTCATAGCCAAACAATATTGTGCCGCTGTTTAAGCTCCTTGATGGGGGAAAAAGGCCTACTCTGGTTGGCGGCATAGTGGGCGTTCATGCAGTATTTTTTCAAGACTTGCCCTATTTTTTGACTATCGACAGTATCTCCTCAATTTTATCTCTGATTGTAGCTTTGGGCGATTTTACGTAAACAGCATTACGCAAATTATATCTCGCTCACATTTTTGCAAATCAGATTAAAATATTTTAATATTTTATATTCTTCTCCTATTACTTAATTAACTTTATGTATAATCCATAATCAGTTAGTTAGCCTCAAGTATATCTTGCTCACATTTTTGCAAATCAGATTAAAATATTTTAATATTTTATATTCTTCTCTGATTTCTTAATTAACTTTACGTATAATCCATAATCACTTGGTTAGCCTCAAAAGCGCTTGTCTCGTCCGACGTCTGTATCCTTGATAATCATGTAGTAATCAACCTTCAAAATATTTCTTTTTTTTTCTTAACGATAAAGATATCAAGATTACAGTTTTCTAAATAGCTATTACCCGCGCCTATTTAAGGGAATCCAAAACAACCTCTTTGATTCTGGACTCCACACCTTGGATACTGGATTCCGGATTATTTATCAGTGGAACCTGGATTGCGCATTTCAGTCGTTAGTGGGATTCCGGATCCTTTGAGCTGTTCTCGGGATTCCAAATCCGAGGATTTCGGATTCCACAAGCGAAAAATTGTCGGATTCCGGAATCCGGATTCCCGTACTTGGGGCGATACTAGAAGGCGCAAAGGTACTTATTAGTTGTTCCTGTATGCTTGGGACAAGATCACAAGGTAAGACCGCGCCTTAATAATCTATCGATGTCCCTTTTTACATTTAGGTGGTAAAGACATCATTTTGGGTAACTGTAGTCCTGCCTGGAGGTTTCATCGCAAAATCTTCACCACCGCCTTGCGCCAGTACCTCTCAAATACTCCTCTGACAGAAAGTCGTGTCAACACACAGGCCAAAAAGATGGTGAACTTCATGAGACAGCAGGATGGCAAACCATTTGATCCCGCCGACTGCTTGATGCGAACTGTTGCTGACGTTATTTGCGGAATAATATTCAAAGAAGGTTGCGATACCATGAACCAAGATCTAGAAAGGCTTTTAAAACTCAACGCAAACTTTATAGCAAATGCAGGTGATATTCAGGAGGCTACCATTTTGGACTTCTTCCCTTGGGGACGTTACCTACCCGTTAAGTCTTATGATCGTATCTTTAAAGTATTTGATGAAATACACTCTATTATTCGTAAATTCGTGAGAGAAAGAAAAGACACATTTGATCCAAGTGAAAAAGTGGGAGATTTTCTGGCGTGTCTTTTAAGTGCCCAGCATGACCTCCAGTGTGAGAGCTATGAAGAAGAAAGGGCCCTCCTGTCTGAAGACCATTTCGTGGTCGCCATTGAGGATATGTTCCTTGCTGGTTATGAAACCACCAGCACCACACTGAGGTTCGTCATTTCCTTCTTAGTCAGATTTCCAGCTTATCAAAAGGACATTCAGCGCCAGTTGGATGAAGTTGTTGGCAGTCGAAAGCCGTCTCTAGATGACCGCCCAAATCTGCCTCTCATCCAAGCCACGATTTTAGAAGCACTCAGAGTTGGAAACGTGTTGCCTCTTGCAGTATCTCATGTCGCTCTTACTGATACGACACTTTGCGGTTACCGCGTTCCCAGAGATACCATTGTCTTTGCTAACACAGAGTCTGTGCATCTAGATCCCAGCTGCTGGGATGACCCCGACGTTTTTAATCCATACCGCCATATTGATGCAGATGGAAAGCTAATCACCAATCAAGGTAATTTTTATCCATTTGGAGCCGGTCGTCGGGTTTGTGCTGGTGAATCTCTAGCTAAAGTTGAGCTGTTCTTGTTTGTCTCTTGGTTGCTTCAGAGCTTTACCTTCATCCAAGTGGAGGAGAATCTTCCGAAATTAAAGGGAGCTTTTGTACAGTTTCCTGATCGGTACAAGATACGTGCCATTAAACGAACGCTACCAACAGGCAATTAAATGAGCTATTTCGAGAGGACATTTCTGAATAGTTAAGACGCAATCCATCAGGAAATTGAGTAATTTTAATTTTCAGTGGACAAAAACCTTGAACCAAAATAATTTAAACAATATCGCATTCTTTTTAACATTTTTCAAGGGCTATAGATGTAACTAATTATCTGTAATAACACTAAAGAAAATTCCGTATGGGAGCCCGAGAAAATGAATGTCAGATTTCACAAAATGACATCTTACACATGAAATTTTCAGAATTGTACCTGCAATTTGAAATTTATTTATCGGGCTCCCATGAGCCATGGTCTTTGGTGTTATTACAGATAATAAATTATATCTATGGCCCTTGAAAAACTGAAAAACGAATGCGGTAGTTTAAATTATTCTGGCACAAGGTTTCTGTCCACTGAAAATTGAAATTACTCACTTTCCTTACGGATCCCGTCTCACTTCTGTGCTAAAGTCATTATACTGAGGGCTTTGACCGACACACAAAATGCTCCCATAGATTTATGAGGAAAATATCAAACAAATTTTGTCAGGGAGCTGAAGTCGTCATTACTTAGTGCCTTTACCGACGCACAAAATGCCTTAGAGTTATATAAGAAGTTAACACATTTTATTAAGGAGCATCAACCATAATAATTTTTTTAGTGATTTTTGCGGGCAGAGCATTAAAACTTGAGAAGTTTGGCGCAACTTCTTCAAGTCTCAATCCTTGTCCATCCTTGCCATCTGTTGCAATAGAGGACAGAAAACAGTTAAAATGCCTAATATGGTCTCGAATAAGAAAACTGGACCATTATTTTTGGAGTTCAATTGCTGCAAAAAAGATCAAGCTTTATTGAAGGGATAGCAAATAGCGTGAGATAGTTCCTTGAATGTTCAAGCCAATCATTCTACAGAATAAAGTTCAAAGTTATTCTACAGAAGACACGCAGTGGTATTCAGAGTCCATATAAAAGACGCACTATCCCTCAAAAGGATAAATGTCGACGTATAGCATTGAAATTAGCATAAAGCACAAAATGTAGAATATTTTTTCCTCTGTATCGAATCGAACTTTTGAACTATAGTTGAATCTGAGTAAAATGTGGGCTATTATTTGTTATTACTACTACTCTCTCGAGCAGGGTGTCTTTCCATCAGTGTGGAAAAATACCCTGGTTTTTCCTCTACTTAAGAAAGATGGCTTAGAACCAATATTCAAAAACTATCGACCTGTCAGTAACTTACAATTCATCTCCAAACTGACTCAGAGTGCGGTAGCCAAACAACCAAAGCACCACATCAACATGAATAAATTATTTCCCTCTCTACAATCATCATATCGTAAGTTTCACAGCACGGAATCCGCTCTCTGGAAAGCAAAAAATGGTATTTTATTAAACATGAACAGACAGCATGTCGCTTTGCTTGTTCTGGTGGATTTGATCATGAGCGCGCCTTTTGATACCATTGATCACGGTATCTTACTTGAGAGGCTTAGGTCTGCATCTTTGGAGTTCGGGATACGGCACTGTCCTAGTTTGCATCACATTTAAGTGGCAGAACTCAGCAAGTTTCAATCGACTGCACACTCTTAACGAAGTTTGATTTGGAATGCGGCGTACCTCAAGGTTCGTGCCTCGGGCCTTTGTTGTTTGTTGTCTATGCTAGCAAGATATTTGAAATTGTTGGCAAACATAATTTAGAGATCCACTGCTATGCGGACGATTGCCAACTCTATTTATCCTTCTGTCCTAATGATAATGCTAATCAACAGGCCGCCTTGGTTAGGGTCGAAAGCTGTATTGAAGACATTCGTAACTGGATGCTGAACGACAAATTGAAACTGAACGATGATGAAACTGAATTCATGATCATTGGAACATCGCAGCAACTAGCTAAAGTATCTATTAACAGCCTTCGTGTTGGGACTGCAACTATTACTCCTATGTCGTCTGCAAGGAACTTGGGCTCGTGGTTTGATTCCAAGCTGACGATGGCAACCCATATTTCAAAAACATGTAACTCTGCCTTCTATTATTTGTATAATCTGAGACTCGCATAAGAAGATATCTATCTAAAGACAACACCAAGATTCTGATTCATGCCTTTATTTCAAGCAGAGTCGATTACCGTAACAGTCTTTTATATGGCCTACCGGAGTATCAACTCAATAAGCTGGAGCGTGTGCAGGACATGTGTGCTAGATAAATATGCAATGAAAGTAAATATTGTCACATTACTCCTTTATTAGTAGATTTACATTGGCTGCCTGTAAAGTTCAGAATTGAATTTAAAATCCTGTTGATTGTTTTTAAGATTTTTAAGGGCTTAGCACCTTCGTACTTAAGTTTTTTAATTACTCCTAAGCCTGTATCTAAATATAATTTAAGAAGTTCTTGCTATAGTACCCTACTTAGTTATCCGAATGTTAAGCCCAAGGCAACTGTCAGTGAACGGGCCTTTCTGTTTGCTGCACCTAAGTTATGGAATGCTGAGCCAGGATTTATTAGGGAATCCATTCCAGTTGACACTTTTAAGAGAAAGTTGAAGACTCACCTTTTTAAAAAAGCATTTTGTACCACCTAGATTATAAGACTTTAATTTTAGCTTACTAGATTGTAAATAATTTTCAGCTTATAATTTTTAAGATTTTGCTAACAGATTTTATCTTTTTAACCTTTAGCCATTAGTTTTTCTTTTCTATTTCTATATTATCATCTTATTTATCATTTTTTATTATCATAATTATTCATAATTTTTATTATTAGTAGTATTATTGTTTTTTTCCCCTATGGCGCATTTGAATATATTTATATAGATATTTGGGCCTTATAAGTTTCTGAAATTAATTAATTAATGAATTATTAAGTGGAGAGAGCAAAAGCATGTATTGGATGAGAAAAAATACAGTTCAAAGTTGATCAATATATAATTTCCCATTTAACGTTATATCAAAAATTGCAATGTTTCGGAAAGAGATCCAGCCAGATTTAAGGCATCGTTATTAGTCTTGGAAATGCAAGCGCGATGACCGAGTGGTTAGTACTTAACTTTAGAATCCGTATCAAAAGGTAAGGTTTTCAGGCAGTGCCCGGGTCTTTGTGTTATGGCATTAAGCGAAAGACTTAATCCTAGTGGGGAATGTAACACTGAGAGTAACTTTGCCATGGACTGTAGTTTGCTAAGCACGAAAACAGTTGGGATATTTATAACTTGTTGATATGTTTCGGTGCGTTCCAGATCGAATTGGAATTTGGAAGTGTTGGCTTTGGAGGAGAGATGAAAACCAGAGAACCCTAAGAAAAACCTCTCGGAGCAAGGGAGAAAACCACCAATCGGGATTTTGAACCGGGCCTTGCAATCTCAAATCTCAAATCCTATAAGGCCCAAATTTACACTTAGCATTAAGGATTCAAGACCAATAGGCCACTTCCGAATTCCAAAAGCCCTCACTTTCAAAATGAGGCTAGGTGCACAACCTTTCTTGTGAAAATGAGTTTTATTTTCATGAGAAAGAAAAATGATTTCCATATCAAAGGCTGAGCCTCTACCTTCGTTTTGAAACAGGGGCCCGGGGGAACTCGGAAATGGCCTATTAGTGGCCATTAGAGCCAATCAGGGGCACATTGCATGAACTGACGAGTGGGAATATAGTAAACGCGTAGTGGTGACATATTTGTCGCAGAAACAACTTCCAGTAACTATATTCTTGTTCTCACTTATAAATAACGGACCTGGCGTTTATTGGTATGCAACACATGTTTACCTAAATACAAAAAGTGTACATTCCCCCTGAAACAATACCTGAACACATCACAAAAAGGTGTTGGAAGCAGGTTTCCTTTAACTAAATTATGTTGTTTAACGTCTGATTTAAGGTAGTATCCTTAGTCGACTAACATTAAGTCTGAGCACTTCAATAAATGTGGATTGAACGTGCTCAAAGAAAGCATATCAAATTGTTATGCAGCATCTGAAATGTGAAGGACGACGTGGACAAATTTGCCACCTTCTCCTTGCCCATAGATCCTAAAGCGATATTGAATACTTGTCTCTAGTAGTGCAGAAAATGGGGTTGGCGCCGGTCAGGCAGCCTTTTAAACGTACATTAAAGCGACATCATTAACTTTCAAGATTTCACTTTTAACTTTCATCTGCAAAATCCATAAAACCTTTTAATATATGATAGAACAAACACCTAGGTATTGCCACGATTGGCCTGTGCTATTACCAGTAAACTAATTAAAGAAAGAAAGAATGACACTCTGCACAGCGTCTCAGTTATATGGTGAAATTCCCTAAATGATAGGGAAAACACCAGCTGAACGAAGCTATCCAGCCCCCACTTTAATCATTATGGTGGCTTTTTGTGTGGTCACCTTCCCATCTAAGAAGTGCCTCGCAAAGGTCATGGCAGAGGCGTATGCTATGGAAGAAGCTCAAGACGATTTTTCATTTCCGTAGCCTTCAAACAATTCAAGTCTAAATTCCAGTTTAGCAAGGCTTACTGGGAAAATCCATTTTGTTTATCTCTCAATCTGGTCATAACCTAAACAGACCGCTTATACAATTCAAGAGCCTTCCCTGCTATACCTATGGGTGGGTGCGCAAGTTCACAAGGAAGCATGAAACAGCCCTCCCCCATTAATAAACTAGCATTTCATGCAAATTCTCACCTGGGACAAAGTATTCGGTCAGGGGGGAGAGAAAGGTGGTTAATCGCACAGAATCGTATACTAATGGACGCTTGGAAAATTTCCTAGATCTGTTTGTTTAAATTTTATCGTCCTCTTGATTTTCAATTGGAACCAGGCTCCCTTTTGAGCCCAATTTCGTCCTCATTATTTCAGATACAAGAGCGCGCCCTTTTCAAACGGTTGTCAGTACGGGCTACTTTCTTACTTTTATTTTATATTAAAGGAGTTTAAGCCCTTGCCCGAGTAGTATCACGATGGCTCATCTGCTTTCCACAAAAATGACGCAGTTTCACTCGCGCGCATTTCTTAATCTCTTCATCTTAGCCGTGGTTATCTTAGAATTTAGAGGTCTCTACTGTCTTGGTCTTATCTGATTTAAGTTCTTTGTGAAATCATGATCTGCAAATGCATTAACTGCAAATGAATGGATAATCCATTATCTCTCGTAGCCTGCTTCTGGAGTACCGTTCCCCTGCCTTCAAAATAATTTACAATAAAGCTACCAAAGCAAGCACCTGCCTGGCTCGATGGTCACCATGTCGGACGTTTAGTCCAGCAGTCCCGGGGGTCCGATTCAACTAGCTATGACCAATGGCGGATCCAGACCTTCAGATAAGTGGGGGGGGCGTTCATCCAGACCCTGAGATAACGGGGGACCCGGTCTGATTTTTTTTTCGGCCCTTCGGGCCTCAGTTTGGTCTAAAAATAAGGGGGAGGGACGGGCCCCCCGGGCCCCTCCCCTAGATCCCCCTCTGATGACTACTACCGGATCTGTTTCTCGATTGCCCCGAGTTCGAATCCTTGGTCATGGTTAACAGTATATCGCCAACTGTTGGTCCTGCAAAGGAGTGCCTTTAAACTACCCTGAAAATTAAAAGGATGTGTTTCAGCCCCAAAGCGCCAATTCAGCCCAGCAGAACAAAATCTAGTTCAGCCCCTCTTAAAGCCATTTGAGCACAATATAAGCCAAAACATCAAAAGGCTTTTTCCGGTCCACGCTGGAGCCCATTGAGTCCATATCACCCCTAGGTAATTGGACTGTATTGGCAGGCCCTGATTAAGGTAGCCAAATTAGACTCAAAAATAGGAAATTTGTTTACTCCCCGAAACGGCCCAGTTTTAAGGGCTAAACTGGATCTTTATGATTTACAGTGCAGTTTAGCAGCTAAGAGCACTTCCACTACAGAAAAAGGTGCAAATCCTTCGGAAAGAAAACTTTATAAAAACTAACTAGTCTCTAAGAAATGGTGTGCTTCGTATGGTTTCATTGCAAGGAAGGAATGTTGGGCTATACCCACAAAAAGCTAGATGATATTAATTTTGAGGATTTTAATTTTAGTATTGAACTCAAAGGCATGCAATTCATGTGAGTAACGTTCTACAATATCACACATTCCCCCAAACTGTCATTAATTTATCACCAAAACAATCTGCACTCTGATCTCTAAGGTGTTACTTTGTTTAAAAATGCACAATTTTACTTCGGGTGGTTGATGCTTTTATTCTCGTGGCCCTAACATTTACTTCGTAGGGCTGTGTCATAGTGGGTTGCCGATTTTGGGAGCAAAACTAAACTGAAACTAAACTAAGTAGCCTATTTTATCTATATTCTTACATAGTGAACTGTAAAAGAAAGATATCGAGGGATGGTGCCAAAGGGATAACAAAGTTTGGTCAGCTTTGGCATTCTTTTCGACCGACACAAAAGCATAAAATTGTTGTTTCATTTCCATTCTAGTGATGGAAAGCAAAAGACATGCGCTTACAGTTTAGACAGATTTCTGTTGTAGTATGATTTCAACAGAAACCGAGCCACTGTTCATCTCCTTGGGATGACACGTATCGTGTAGCTAGTTGGAAACTGGGTAATAGATGCCTTTGCCTTAGGAGGATGCCCTTCTCCAGCGATGAAGGTGAAGTTGTGAACCAGCAACGCGACAAACAGGAACAACTCAATTTTCGCCAAAGATTCACCAGCACAAACCCGACGTCCAGCTCCAAAAGGATAAAAATTCCCTTGGTTGGTCATCAGCTCGCCATCTGCATCAATATAGCGGTATGGATTAAACAGGGTGGGGTCTTCCCAACACTTGGGATCTAGGTGGACAGACTCTGTGTCAGCAAAAACGATGGTATCTTTAGGAACACGATAGCCACATAGGATTGTATCAGTAACTGCAACATGAGGGACTGCGAGAGGTACGACATTTCCAAGTCTCAGTGCTTCTAAGATTGCAGCTTGAACGAGAGGCAGATTTGTACGGTCATTCAAGGAGGGCCTGCGATCTCCGACTGCTTCGTCCATCTGGTTCTGCATATCCACTTGATACTGTGGATGCTGAGCCAAGAAACTCATGATCCATCTTAGTACGGTGCTGGTGGTTTCGTAGCCAGCGACAAACATGTCCTCCATACAAGACACGAAATAGTCGTCGGAAAGAAGAGCAGCCCTTTCTTCGTCACTCACACATTCTGTTTGGAAGTCGTTCCTGGCTCGAAGCAAAGCTGACATGAAATCACCTACCCTTATAAGGGCTTAATGAGGACGTGCTGCCAGCCAGGGTATGTTTTTCGGGATTTTTGTCTTAAACAGGTATTGATTTTATCAATTTTTGTCTTAAACAGGGTATCTTTTCTTAGACAGGGGCCCATAAGCCTGTTCTTCGACGATAAAGAGCCTGCACTTATGTTCTACGAATTCTTAAACTGGGTATCAAAAATCAGAATTCTGTCTTAAACAGGGTAGGAAAATCAGCGATTTTTGTCTTAAACAGGGTCAGGGTATGAGGGGCCGAGCCGCACCTCACCCAAGGATATATCGAGTAGCCCCCCCCCCCCCCGGGGGGAGCAAACAAGTGATAAAATCTGCCAATACAATAAATCGCGGTCGAGTTTGTTTATTCTACATAGTACACCAAAAAATGAATAACTTTTTATCTTGAAGACGCTAATGGCAAGTTATTAGTGAAAGTGTTCATTGTACGTTATCTGGAAGCAATAGCAACCGTATATGTCCATTCAGTATGTAATAATGACGTAAAACTTGTCGAAACTCGAACTTTACATTTTGAATGAGTATTAAATCGCCGTCTTCTGTTGATTGAATAAACAAATTCGACCGCGATTACTCGTTGAGAAACCACGTGACATTGCTAATATCCCATCGATCCTAAGGCGCATGCAAAGATGGCGGGTATCGTGAATAAGATCTATCCAGTTAATCCAGTGCCTGGAATCCACAAACTGCCTTGGATTGCGATACATAGAACCAGCATACCTAAGGTTCGTTCTTTCACAGAATATGTGCGTTGTCTCCCCGCAAAATCAGCGGATCTTGTCACGAGTATCTCTTTGACTGCCTCCGGTGTTGAAGCCATCACCAGCTTGTGGCTTCCTATTTTCAGGGAGGAAACACCACCGTAGTTTTGTCGAAGGCTGCAATTTCAATTCAAAGTAGGGTTCAGGATCAAAAAATGTGCTGGGGGAAAATAAGTTGATAAACAGGCATGTAAAAAAACCAACCATTTGAACCAATGAAGGAAAAAGTTTAAGTTTTCATACCAGCTGGGAACAGTACGTAAATCTTTTTCATGTAGTGAATAGATAATGATGATAATAATAATGATAATTTTCAACCGGTCGAAAATTCTTTCAGTGGCGTGTGAACATAGAAACTTAATATTGTCGTAGTCTACTTATGAGTTTTATTTTTCTAATTCAGACAACGTGATGCTTGCAGAAAGGAATTTGCCTTTTGTCGATTTATTAGTTATGCACACATATGCATACAGTGTGGAAAGAGCGACATTTGAAAGAAACATTTCGCTGGGCTAACATCACATGATCTGAAGTGGAAAAGCAGAACATACAAGCTCAAAAAGATAAATTGGTCTTAGCAAAACTCAAATAGAATGTTTATTTTTCAAGCCTTTCCCCCCACCGCTATGAACCCCGACTAGCCCCTCCCCTTCCACTTGTACTTTTGAAACCAAGATGGCAGCTCGTTAATAAGCTCTCGATCACGAAGAGCGTAGGGAAAAATAAGGATCTGTTTACAGTCTATAATCCAAGTTATTTCAATGAAAACTATGACATTAAAAGTCGCACAGCGATAACACGTTTTTACAATACCGCACTAAAACTCTAAGAGTTCGCTTTCACTATTTCAGAAAGGGACACTGAAGAATTGAACGTGCATGATTACTGGTACAGATCAAATACATAATAAAATTTCCCGGCTATAGGTTTTATGAATATAGTCTATAGTGTATATATATATTATGGATTCGTATTATACTAACCTTCGAAAACGGTCGCTTAATTTATCCGCTCTGAACTTAAGACTAAATATGTTTCCAAGCACAGGGAGAGCCGTAAAGCGAGGACCAGGAGGCATGTTTCTGAACTCGTACAGCACCATCAGGTAATGAAGAAGGAACAGCAGAGGTAACAGCAGAAAAACATTCCCAAGACTGGTAAAACGATAAATTAGATCGACTATCAGCAGCATGACTACGAAATTGCGCGAAACAGATATGCTCAATCTAGTGAGTCAAGTATAGGCTGACCGATGACTAAATGAATGCATTATGCTCGTAAAATATGTCAAAGATCTCTAAAGCCTTTTGTCAAGTGGACAATATTGCTTTACAGTGATTTATGCAATAGCAGTCACGCAAACGTGATTGTAAGAAAAAAAACAGAAATAATCATTTTTTATATATATATATATACTCCAACGCTTTCATGAATTTACCAGCAATCATTACAAGTTCAAACAAGTAATAGAGATCACTGTTAGATCTAGGCAATAAATAATTTTTCTCTTCTTTTTAAGCGCTTTTACCAAACAATTAATTTACATTACGCTCCCGGCAGCATACAGCGAGATACAATATCATTAACAAAAACAAAATACAATAACTTTGAGTGGTCATCAACTGATCAAAATATTTAGCACTGAGGGATGGGGAGGGGGGAGGGTTGTGGAGAGTTTGTTCCCACCCCTACCCTATAATTCTCCTCTCCCTTCGATCCCTTTGTCGCTCTTCACCAAGTCATTCGTACCCTGTGATTTAAGAGGACGCCCTTAGATCTTCCTAGATCAGTTGAGAAGACGGATCTTCCTATATACGCAGTGGCCGATCTAGGGGGAGGGGCCCGGGGGGCCTGCCCCCTATTTTTCGACCAAACTGACGGCCGAAGGGAGGAAAAAATTTGCTTTTTGAGACTGTCCCCTCCCCCCTTATCTGAAAGTCTGAATCCGCTACTGTATACATCCCTTCCTCTTCCCATTACCTAGGAAGAACGAAGAATTGAAGAATGTACTTGTAAATAGGCTTATTTCTGAATATCGTATTTTGTCTTTTTTAATATCTAATATATCTGAATCTATTTCTTAACGAAGTACCAGAGTGATGTCCTCATCGACTACAAGAGTGCTGAATAGTTGAACTAAAACAGAATACAAGTAGACTGGTGGAAGTGGATTAGATATTGAACATTTACTGTTACTCAGAGTTTCCCGCCACTTGCGAACCAATCATCTGGCAACTGCCAAAAGTAACGGTTACAATCAAAGATATTCGGAAAACAGAGCAATAAAATGTTCCACCAGTAGTGTGTTTGTAATATATTTCTTAGGTGGTCAGACATTTCTTTTCTGTTGTATCCTTGACTTCCTAGACTAAACATTTAGGAGGAATAAGATTATTATTTTTATTATTAGTAGTAGTAATAGTAGTAAAAGTAGTAGTAGTAGTAGTAGTAGTAGTAGTAGTAGTAGTAGTAGTAGTAGTAGTAGTAGTAGTAGTAGTAGTAGTAGTAGTAGTAGTAGTAGTAGTAGTAGTAGTAGTAGTAGTAGTAGTAGTAGTAGTAGTAGTAGTAGTAGTAGTAGTAGTAGTAGTAGTAGTAGTAGTAGTAGTAGTAGTAGTAGTAGTAGTTTACAACGCATGCATGCGTACAAAATTAAATAATACAATAACTAAAAAAAAAATTTAAAAAATACAATAACTTTGAGTGGTCAAAGCGTAGCTCACGCTGCTTTACAGGAATTAAACACTAAAAAGGTGATGAACGAGCTAAATTTACACTGGTGCAATTAAAATAATCCTACGGTAATCCTAAAACTATTGCAAACAAGGTTTACATAATGAAAAAAAGTAGCTAGGCCTATGCAATCCCATATCGATATATGCATTATATAAAACTAATGGCCGAGATTTGTTTGATAAAAATGAAATACTATGGACAAACCTAAAGTTTATACTGTCCCCTATCTATGTTACCATACTTGAAATGCGGGTCCATGGCCTTACGTAGTAATAACGTTTAATGTCTGCGCAATGTTTAGCGAGCTGGGCAGAGCAGCCTTCTACATCCTCTTCAGAATATCACTCGATCGCGCACCACAGATCTTACTCATCTCGACATCTAGCTCCTTAGACTGTCCCCAAGGAGGAACAGAGTCGGCAAGCTTGAGGTCCCTCAGCATGGCAAAGAACAGCACCTTTAGTGCAGCACTAAGCCTTTCCATATACTTAGTCTGCGCCAGCGATAAATATCGCCCCAAAACGTGAGCAAGGCTTTCTGGTATACCTAACCGCACATTCTGCACATGGTGTTAATTACATTTGTTCTGAAGTACCCGTCTTAAAAGCTGCATAAACTCGGGTTGGTAAGAGCTGCTCATAAAGTTCCATAACCCACTGCGATAGTATGAGTGGGAGCGCACGCCCACCCACTCAACCAGGCGAAACAGCCGTGTTCACTCAGCTGGTCGTCTTCCCACCTGGTGTGGTCCACAGCAGACGTCCTTGCCATCTCTAGTCTTCCATATTCTCCTTAAGCTGCTCTTCTACATCTTTCCTAAGATCATTTGTCTCACCTGATATCTACTGATCCTCTTCTTTGGGGCCTGCTGAGTGCTGCATAATGGATCGAAAGTGGCCAAAGTCAAACTAGTCCCCAGTTGCTCCGCAAACTTGTGCGCGTTTTTCGCAAGTGAGGAGAATCCCTTCTCGAATGCTTTCTCTTCAAATATCCACACACTTCTCATCATTGGGTCTGGATTCTCAAGAAAGCGAAAATTGATCGTATTGACCATGGCGCGGATTCCGTCATTGATTTCGGGGGGAGTGGGTTTACGTATTCTATATGTTCGAGGCGTTCAGAAAGTTAGGAGAGGCGCGAGGTAAAAAGAGGCGCGAAAAAAGTGAAAATGAACGGGGGGAGGGGGGGGAGGGAACGCGTTCCCTTGCCGCTACCACCAGTATCCCTCTGTTTCCCTCATTTTCTTTGCATTGCGCCACTCCTAACTAACTAAACGCATAGAAAAGCCGACGCATGCTATTTAATTCTTGTCCAAGATTGCGCGCAGCTTCGTCTTAGTCCTTTACCACACAAGAGAGACTGGTCTCAGGCGGTCTCAGGCTATAATGTAAACACCGTGTAGTGCAAATGAATGAATAGCGTTATAGCCTGTGAAAACTACCGACATTTCGCGACGCCTTTATTGGTTTCCCTGCGAAGACGTCTGAGAAATGAGCCTAGAAATTTCTATACGTATGACGCTTTACCACCTAGATCTGGGTAGTCAGCTTCTGATTGGTTGAGGCAAATTTCCCTCTTGACACGACCAATCACTGGTGCACTACCTAGATCTTCAGATCTGGGTAGAGTGACGCGTTATCAATGTGGAATTTCTGAATTCATTGCTACGACGTCCTCTGACAGGGAAACCAGTGGTAGCGTCACGAAATGTCGGCTGTTTTCGCCAGCTAATAGCGTGTGTCATTATTAACAATACGAAATGCTAATAAGCATACGTATACTTTGCGGTTACCTAAAAATTTTAATTTATTTTCTGTACAAAACTATATGTCTTCCGGACCGATCCATGAAGTTTTTCTTTCCCTCAAATTAATTGCATGCTAGGAATATTTCAGTTAGCGCTTAGATTAAGATGTCTTTTTATGGCGCGTATTTTGTACGGAGCAGGAAACTGCGTAATGCTTAGAATTCCCTTCAGACTTGGTGGGTGGCCATCTATTTCAGGGACGAAGGTGAAGTTATAACATAACCAGGAGACAAAGAGGTACAACTCAATTTTAGCCAAAGTTTCCCCGGCACAGACCCGACGACCAGCTCCAAAAGGGTAAAAATTACCCTGGTTGGTCATCAACTTGCCGTTTGCATCAATATGGCGGTATGGGTTAAACAAGGTCGGGTCTTCCCAGCATTTGGGATCTAGGTGGACAGATTCAGCGTCTGGAAACACGATAGTATCCTTGGGAACGCGGTAGCCACAGAGCGTCGTATCAGTAGTGGTGACATGAGGTAATAATAGTGGGCCCACATTTCCGACTCTGAGAGCTTCCATGATGGTAGCTTGAATGAGGGGAAGGTTTTGGCGATCGAACAGGGAGGGACCACGCCTAAAGAGTACCTCATCTAGTTGACGCTGAATGTGGACTTGGTACTCAGGATAGTTGACTAAGAAAGCGATGACCCATTTTAGTGTGGTAGTCGTTGTTTCGTAGCCGGCTCCGAACATGTTTTGAACAGCATTTACCAAATAGTCGTCACTGAGAAAATCTGATCGCTCAGCGTCGCTGTTAAACTCAGCCTCGTTTCTAGCGAAAAGAAGCCCAGAGATGAAATCTTCCACAGGCTCTGTTGGGTCAAAATTGTCCTCTCTCTGTCTCAAAAATTTTCGAATTATGTCATGCATTTCAAAGAAAGGCTGGATAAAGCGATCGTAGGCCTTGATGGGCAGATATCTTGAGAATGGAAAGAAATCTAACATAGTTACTAACTGAGCTACGTCTTCATTTTTCACCACGTGTTCGCAGAGTCGCAATAATTCCTTCAAATCTGGATGCGTAGTGTCATAGCCTTCACCAAAGGTGATTCCACAGATAACATCAGCAACACTTTGCATCAGACAATTCGTGGGATCAAACGGTTTGTCGTGTTGATCTTCCACGAATTGTACCAGTTTCTTGGCTTGTCCTGAGATTCGTTTTTCGATCAAAGGAATATCTGAGACATATTGGCGCAAGGCTGTTGTGAACAGTTTGCGGTGGAATTTCCAGCCAGGGCCATAGTCACCGAACGCAATATCTTTACCGCCTGTATAGGAATAAAAAATGTTGCTTAATTTTAGTTTTATAAACCGCTCAAGGATTAGACCTCAGTCGGTGCAGGGTTTGACCGGCAGAGCGGGAGATCGCGGGTTCGATTCCCGCGGGGCCGGGCCAATACTCAGTGTCTTAAAATAACTGACAAATGAAGGTACTCCCTTTGCACCGCAAGCGGCTAAACCTTCGAGTGGCTTAGATGACCATGGCCACGTAAAATGGCGGTTTCGTCCCCAGTTGGAGACGTAAAATTAGTGTCCCCAATTGTACATCGGGGGAAAAAGTTTTCCAAACAAAATCAAAGAACCTCTGAGAAGATTACGAGAAGCTTATGAATAAATTCAGGGTAAGTCCTGTTGTATTGATAAAACATATAATACCTACCTAACGTCCTTGTAACAATAGAGTATGTTTGTGGTCTTCCTGCGAATTCAACTGACTTCTTCAGGAGCATTTCTCTAACGGCTTCAGGAGTTGAGGCCATTACGAACTTATAGCTTCCAAATTTCATGGAGAAAACACCTCCGTACTTTATCTTTAGACTACGAAATAGAATGGAGAAAGAACAAAGAATGAGCCACGAAGCGACGTGAGTCATGGGCTAAGTAATGAGAACACAATAAGCCCATCTACCGTACTTACCGCTGAGCTAAGTGCTTGAACTACTTGACCGGGTACACTCGAGTAGAGTACGAAGGGCAAGTTTTTATTTTTACTTTTAGTAACTTCGCCAAACAATAAGATAAGTGACACTAGAAAAAAATGTACATATATTCACAGGAGTACAGGTGGGGACAATGCAATAGCGAGCGCGCGTCAATTACTCCGGGGCTAAGACACACGCTAAGAAAAAAGTAAAAACTGCAAAACTATATCTAAAAGCAACAGGTGATGTTCCGTCCTAAATTATGGACAGCGTTATAGGTCAAACATATAGATTTTAAAAGAGCGAGCGAGGGTCATCAGGGAAGTAGAAAGCGAAAAGAGCTTGTTTGAAATCGATTGTAAAGGACTGCTTTAAAAGAACTTAAAGAACAATAAGCAACAGATACTCCGAGGTCTGCGGCAAGAGCATTCCATATTCTACTAGTTTTGTTAAACAACGATCTTTGAAAAGTTGTTTTTTTACAGGACCTGATTAAAAATAAAATGATATTTTATAAAAATAAAGTTGAAGGCTTTCCTTTCAGTCCATGCATTCACTAAACCACCAAAGTTGCATTTTCACGGAGAGCTCTTATTTACTCATTTTTCTTTCACCCCGAGGTTTCGAACCCTCATAGGGTAATCCAGGTTCCAGAATACGGGAAATTTTTGATGTGAAATCCATAAAATCTTCGGCTGTGGAATCCGTAATTTTGCTCAAGCAGTGTCCAGAATACAATTTCCTCTGACAAGATCAGGCTTCCTCTAGAACCCAGAATCCACAGCCTAGAATTGAGCATCCAAGGCTGTCTTGGATTACCTTGCATGAGGTGCCAGTACATTATGTAATCGTCCGGATCCGTCTCCATCGCCCGAATCGTCTTGGATCATGGTGTCAAAGTGGGCTGACAGACAGTCGAAACGCTCATATATGGAAATACCTTGCGATGCGTGCGATCAATACGACTGAGGCGACGGGCTGAAAAGAACTGAAACCTTTTTGCAGGCTGCCGGTTTCCATGATAATCGACTGGATCGTATCGATCAGGGGCACGCAACTTCAATTTTCGGAAAATATCTGTTGGGAAGACGATTTGAGATCTAGAATCTTCGGAACATTTGTTGTAAAATTTCTTACTTGCCTGTCTCTCCTAGGATTTTTGAACATCTAAAAAATGGTATAATTGTCCATTTTAAACGGATTTTTACCCTAAAAAGGTCATCTAGAATTTTCGGGAGCCTTTTTTTCTGGCTGAAATTTTCGAAGGTAAGTTTTGATCCCTATAATTTTCGGATCACTAGTAAGACTTTCAGGTAGGTAATCCGAACAGATCAAAAATTTCTAGGGGATCAAAATATGCCTATATCTACCGTTTAAATACTAAAATACGTTTAACAATGCTATGTTCAGTTTAAGTGGTTTTGAACTATATTCGATCGATCGTTCAAATCATGCCAGGGGATCTCGCCAGCTTCGTTGATATTGGACCGGAAACAATGTGCAATCAACCCTTACTGAACTGCTGATTATCTGTAATGGTCTGAAAGCTGAGGTTACAATGCCGGCAACAGTGATGTTTTAATACTTTGTAAAATCCATTTTACGAGGGATTTATTCCCAAAATATTGTTTTGATAATATAATGACCTAACACCTCAAATGTATAATACGATAATCTTGTATGTGGTCATCTCAGTCATAATACGGGCGGACTTAGTCATTACATAACTAACTTACTAACTTTCGATGCCAGTTCTCCCCTTTGCTTTTGCTCGATTTCCCTAAGATACTTTCAAAATACGGTTTTGTTTAGTCTATTTGTTCTTCTGACAGGCTATTAAACTAGAGTTCGAGTATGATGTACTTGAACAAACAGATCAGCAGTATAAAAAACATTACCTGTCAAAAGCGCTGGTAAGCTTCTCCGCCTTAAAGTCTAAAGAAAATATGCTGCCCACCAAAGGCACAGTCATCAGCCGAGGTCCTGGTGGCATGTTTCTGAACTCGTAGAGCACCATCAAGTAATGCAGAAGGAACACTAGAAACAACAGCAGAAAAACATTGCCAAGACTGAGAAAATCGTAGATCGTGGTAAAAACAAAGTCCATGATCAGCGAAGAAGGGAAATAGAATTTTTTATCAACGTCACTGAGTCGTGGGTATAAACAGCGACCATTTCCTTTTGTGTGATGTCTTAATACTTAACAACCGTTAAGTCAGCTGGCCTCTATTTTAAGCTCATAAATAATAAACTCTTTGTAACCCTTTCAGCCTCATTAAGCTTATGCACAATAAGCAATCAAAACTATCTTTAGTGTCATTCTGAGTTATAAACAGTCTGTTGTTTTTCAAAACAGGAAACGCAGCAGAACAGTAACCTTATATTTGAATCAACTTGTCACAAGTAGGATTTCACCAGTTTGAAACTCCAAAGCGAAAAATATGAATCGAGAGATGATCGGATCGACTGCTTGGCATGGAAAACACAAATGAATCCCCCGTTCTTCCATGACATTTCATGGCATCATATTGGCAATTTTGTTGAATGCAAGACGATCTAAGAGTGAGAGATTTCTTTTTCTTTTGCTCCAAAACGACTTAATTTTATGTGCGGCTTCACGGTCCATAGATCACGTGATGAAAGGGTAATTGGAAGGGCGAACATTGCTGCTATAGTCTTTGTTTCTTGGAATCGAAAACTTGTTTGGTATTCGGCATAAAATGTCCCTTATAGTACGTAAATGTTTTTTTTGTTTCCAAGTATAGCGTTTCTACATAATCCTGTCTAGCTCTGCTTTTTTTTTATTTGTTATTATAATTATTTTTGTTAATTTACTATACCTCCTACTGACGGCTTGTATCCCATGTAAGGTGTAGATCTTACTTTTGAGTCTATGGTTAAATGCAGTCTTTTAGTCATTATATATTATTCAAAGATGTAGAGCAGAAGACAGTGCATTTTCTACTGGAAAAAGTGTAGCAGCGCTAATCAACTTCATAGCGTTTTGATGTCGTGCTTGTCTCATGGTGGCGTTCAAATACGGGTCAAACGGCAATGAGGGATAGAAACCAGACAATGGTCGCCGGCTTAACTGCACGGTTGGAAGAAAATTGTTCCGGTCTCATTTGCCATCTGGATACTCCTAGGATAGGGTGTTACCTAGTCCCTGTATGGCGTTTTCCCAGGCCTTCTCGGTCAATTCACTTCGGCGACGTATCCCAAGCGAAATGGCCGCCACGTGACCCAAAATGCATTGGCCGTGTGGAATAACGAGGGCTAGGTAGGAGGCAAGATCGGTTGAAGATAAAGGATAGTCTTTAATACAAGGGTGTGGGTCCTCGAATTCGTGACACAGTGTTTTGTTGTTGCACGGCCTGCAATTCTCACTCTTCCGCGCCAAATGTTAGGGTTTACAGTCTTGCATTCTGGATTCCTCGCCGTGGATTCCGGATTCCACAAGTACTGGATTCCGCATATTTTGTCTGTGGAACTTGGACTCCGGATTCCAATCGTTAGTAGGATTCCGGATTCCAAAGCCCAGGATTGCGGATTCTACTGGTAAAAAAATTGCTGGATTCCCCATAATTAAAAATTTCCCGGATGAATTCCGGAATCCAGATGCCATTACATGGGGCGCTAAGTCTGTGGTTTAAATAGCCTACGTAGCTGGCGGGTTTTTTGGTGTATTTTTTTTTTCGTTTGTGGTTCGCACAGTAAGAGATTCAACCGCGCGAAATCTTCTCCCCGCCTCCCCTTCCGTATCGTTTTCTGTTCGATCTCGCGTCGCTCTAGCTCTTACATTATGATCAAACCACAAAGAAAACCGCCAGCTACGCGCAGGCTAGTGGTTTAATTCGTGTGCAGTGTGAGCATTCCGGCTAAAAACTACTGAACCACCTTCTCCCGGAAGTTTCTTTCGGATTGTTTGTTGTTTTGTTTTGATATTTCTTCGTGTTGCACAAGGCAGTTCTAATTTTTGAATTGTGCTAGTGTGGCTACTAAGCAGTGCATTCCGATGATGTTAGTATTGAAGTGCTTATGAGAGGGCACATCGCCTGTGCGCCTGTACTTTCACGAATCACCATTAATCACGCTGACGTTTTTAAAGTGGATGATTCTAGCTATTGTAGCTTTTCAATTGTGGCCATTGACATTCTCAAGGTCATATTTTTTTATTTCTATGGTGCTGATCAACAGTCCTGGACAAAAATCATTGGTACAGAGATGAAGTATTCATAATCAGTTCTACAATTTCTGCGTTCCATTATAAAGCAATGCAATTGTTTTTTGAAAATATCTTGCAGTTCTCCTATTCCCCCTCCCCCACCCCACCCTACACAAAGTTGAAACTTGGGGACCAATCTGGAAACACATGTCTAACCTTGTTTATGGGGTGGGGGAGGGTTGGGCATGTGTGATTTAAAGAAAGCATTATGAATGCAGATGTGTCCCAAGACGTTTGTCCATGCTTGTTACCACGTTTGGCTGCATCTGTGTGACACATGTAACCTCCCCCCTCCCCCCACAGTTACTTGAATGACATTTTACAAATAATGCAGAGAGGCAAAGCAAACAATGAAATGTAGCTTCAATAATAATTTTCTCAGATTTGACTTCTCAAACAATGGCAAGTAGATTACTTCTAGCTAAAATCAGTGCATGAAAACAAGCAAGTATTGCACACAGCATCAAGGTCTACTTTCTGTAATGCTGTCTACTCTAAGGCTCCGATTAACAGCCCACATTTCCCGATGCCATCACCGGTATACCCTTGAAATGACTTTTGAGGAACAAGCGCAGATATCCCATACTAATGACGTGTCACTACCCAGATCACTGCTGTTGGTGCCTCTGATTGGTTGAAGCAAATTTCCCTCGCGGGGCTGCCAATCAGAAGTACTAAACAGATCTGGGTAGTAACACGTCATCAGTAAGGAATTTATGGAACTTCTGCACTCCGTCCTCAAACGTCATTCCCGGAGAAACAAGAGGTAGCGTCACCACTGTCGGCTGTTCTCGCAGGCCTCGTTGACTGTAATTACCGAATTCTTAACTTTGACAGACATAAAAACAGGCTCCCTGGGGCGCTCTGGTGGCGAAGCGGGAAAAGGAAGGAGAGCTTGCAACTACGCTTCTGGAATTTGGATATCTGCATCGAAAAAATCAATGCGAAATGCTGATCGGCGGAGATGACAATAGTAATGGCGTCATAACCTTTGGAACGTGTTTTTCAATGTTAGTTTACATTTGTGCTCGTTTCCGCTCCGCGCTGATTTACGGAAATCTCACAGCTCAGTCGCCGGGGAGCCACAGGGGAATTGGAGATAGAATTCCAATTCCAGAGACGTAGTTGCGAGCTCTCCTTACTTTTCCCGCCCCGCCGCCAGAAAGCCCCGGAGAGCTTGCTCGCAGGCTAGAGCATTGCACTTTTTACAAAGCACCATCTCGGGCAACTTGTCACAGTGGCATTCCGCAAGGGTGCGATAAAATGTACAAAGAGACAACCAAAAAAAATGCCTTGTGTTCCAGTGTCTTTTGTTTTTAGTAGATGGGCTTTGATTTGTTAAGAAGGCATTGCACCCAAAATGTATACTGTCATTTATAATTCTTATCGCACTTGATAGAAATTTTCCAGACTAATATTCACTCTTCTTCCATGATATTTAAGAATACATTCTTCTTTGTTGTGCTATACATTATAACAATTAAAAAAATGTAGGAATAAGTTTAAATAACAGTGTATATAATCATTAATTTTTCTCCACAATACTCTTAGACCTATTTGATTCGTCAAACTATAGTGTCACTAAGGACAATACTTCCATGCTAATCAGTATGTTGTTTCAAACGTTGTACTTAAATTAGACCTATTGTAGCTTTCCACCTAGGGCATTGTCACGCATTTCTTCCCTAAATTGGGGGCATTGCGTGACGAGCCACAAAAAAGCCTTCTCCGTGGGAGGCTAGAAAAGACCTTTCCGCTAGAAAAAGACGAGTCTGTTTATTGGCAAAGAATGCCGTGTTCGAGCTTTTAGGGTCACGGGGCCTGGCCCCATCAGTGTAAGGCCTTTTTTGGACCAATGGATGGACTTTTTAGAGGTAGACCCAAGAAAAACATCGCGACCACACTAGAAGACACCCGAATCAGTTGCCTTATAAGACTTTAAAAGATTTTTAACCTACTGAAGTTCAATATCATTCGTTTATTGTCTGGCCTAGATAGCACACACCAAGTGTTATCAAATCGGAAAAAAGCCCTAGTTATCATTATTACTTTCTTTTTTTTGTACCTACTGACTTATAGAGTGAAGCCTTAAACATTGCACCAATATTGGCCACTATACATGTAAAATACTGGTGATAAATCAAGACATTCTGTCCCACCTACAGTCTGTATTAATACTTCACTGCATCTTCTATGGATCTTTCATTTGAATTCAAGCTGTTTCGAGCATCAAAGACTAGCTGTTATCAACAGCTTTCAATACACATTTGACTGTGTATGCAAAGGCAGCAAAGCCAATGATGACACAAATGTTCACCAGGGTACTACTGATAAGTCCATTGTTCCCTTCTCTTGTGGCCCCAGCCACCCCTCCCTTTACATTGCCACTGTTCTGTGTCAAGTTTTGTTCTTCCCTTTCTTCTCCTCTTTCCTTCATTTTTGCAAGAATTTCCTGTGAAGTTATATACAATAATAATACTGGCAATGAGACAAGGATTGATTACAATATTCTATGTAATTTTAATTGCCCAAAACTTCACTTTCCCGTCGGGCAAGTTAAGAACAGAATTCACTAGCCGTAAAGAAAAGTCCACTGGCCCAGGGCTACTGGATACGACTCTCTTTGCATACTGACCTTAGGACCAAAGGATCTTTTAAATACTTACAGTGTAGAAGACCTTTGCCCTGTTTACAAGGAGGGAGGGAAACCCCGGTGCTCAGGTGACCCTAGCACTCGCATATTTCTTCTTTTTACATGACGTGTTTACAAGGTAGGTAGGGTTACCCTTGCCAGGGTAACCCTACCTGAGTGCTAGGGTTACCCTAGCAAAGAGGGAGAACTCGCCTACCCAGGTCAACTTTCTGCTGTCGTGCTTGACCAGTAATTATGCCAATTTGAAGGGTATTATACAATTTCCCCTTTTTTTCGTGAATTTAACATGTTTTCCATAGAGAGCTTCACGATTATGTCAAATTTTGGACCGTTACAAAGACTGTCATGCATGTCAGCAAAGCTGGTAATGTTGCCCCGAGTGATAGGGTAACCCTACCTGTGAAATTTGCTTCAAAACCAGAGCTAACTTTAACCTGCTTGTTAGGGTAACCCTAGCACAAGGGTAACCCTTTCTCTTCATAAACAGGCCCTTAGAGAAAACAGGACACTGAGAGGGACTACATAAAGATTCTTCTTACAGATCTGCTCTAATTAAACTGGAAATAAAAATTAAAAAAAAACCTTTTTTTCAAAATGAAAGTTGAAAAACCTGTAGAACCTAGATAGATTATGCAAGCATAATTTTTGGCATAATCCATTATTACAAAATGCTAAACAGGCCTTAAATTTTTGGGCACTGTACAACCAAAATAAGTGAAAGTAATATTATTTATCCTTAGTTTGCATTCACACAAACCCAAATTTTTAACAATCAAAGTTGGTAATTTTTACTCAGAATAAATAATCTAATTTTTGAAGAACCCACTCACCTCCACTATATCAGGGAAGAGCTCACAGAATATTTTATCTTTTAAGTTAAATGGACCACTCATTGTGGCCAGCTGTCTTTTCTGAAAAGAAAAATATATATATATATATACATACTATTAAAACAAAATTAAGAGAAGGACCAAACTACTACACTTACGAAGCTGGACACACTTTTAAAACTTCGTAAATGATAAATATTCATGATACCACTGTATATGAATGGTAGAAATGTCCCCTTGCCCCATCTTTTGGGAGGGGCTGTCTTTTTGGAGGGGATGTTTTTGCATGGAGCTCTTCATATAATTATAATAATAATATCAAATGTGCTAATACATTGTATTCATTTTAATTATGAAAAATTAATACAGATTAATAATTATCTCCTCAAAGAGGATCCCTAAAAAGATAAAAGACAGACCCCTTAAAATATTATTAACACAAGCTGTATGTGATATACACAAAAGAGAATACAAAATGTCATGGCACAAACAGGGAAACACCTGGTCCAGCCCTTGGTATAATTATTATGTGAATTTTACCAGTTAAATGCTTGGACTAATCAGAAATTGTTGTTTATTATTTAGTGTTGTCAAGAGAGAATTCAACAGTTGCCATACAGTGTACATGTAACAACATTCTGCACTAATTTTATTTTCTTGCTTTGAGGCAGTCATGTGTGGACTCGATGAAATTTCAAACAATCTACATGTATTTAACACGATGTACAATGTCCCAGGAATTAGACTCCAGGGCCTAATTATTCAAAAAGGTGGATAACGCTATCCACTTGATAAATCTCTATCCAGTGGATAACGCAATTAATTTCCCTAATACTTATCCTCTGGATAGCAATTTATCTGGTGGATAGCACTATCCAACGTTTGAACTACTGGAGCCTGTTCACATACAACCTCTAAGTTTAGTGAAATTCACATATCCCAGCCAATGCCCTAAGACTGATTCCCTCTCCGTGCCATTAGTCTATCTTGATACTACACTATAGACAGTACAGTATTTATTGCATACCTGAAATTCTGATGTGTCTATACTTCCGAGGGTTGGAGAAGTCTCCACCTGACATTTTAAAAAAAAGTACATAAAACTTAAACGTGTTGAGTCTAAAAATCTCACTACAAGGATAGACCCAGCGCAGCTAGTCAACTTGGTAGATTATAGAGAATTTAACTGCAGAGCAGAATGTTGAGGGTTTGATCTCCAGGGTGTGACCATTAGACAGCACCTTAAAATACATTGTAAAGTCTGAGAAATGAACGTACTGACATTTTGCCCTGCAAACAGCTAGCCTTTGCATGGTTCACATGACCATGTAAAAATTAATGGCCAATCAATTCCCACAAAAACAAAACAGTCAAAATATTTACAGACACTCATGCAAACATGAAAGTTTCTTTGACAGTGATCTAAATAGAATGATTGTCACGAGTTTGAGAACTTGAAGACACATTGTACAGTGTATTCACTGTAGAAAATTACATACCATAAAACTTAATAAACCAGTGAGTATGGTTGAAACAGACCATGCTGGATTCCAGGTGTCAGGGTGAAAATCACTTATTGATAGACACAATCTTAAAAAGAAAAAAAGAAAAATAAATAAAATAAATAGAAACAAAAACTAGAAAAATAAATAAGTCACATAATTTTAAAGCAAATAAAATGCATAAAAAATTAATAGATTAATTGCGGGCTCCTCTGGTCATCCACACCAATCCTAATCTCCATGTATGGAGGCAGCCTTCATTTGGACTTGCACTAAGAATGCATGGAATGAATACTAAAGAACACAATCTGCTCATGCGCCTTTGAACCTTCTATAACTTGCAATCAGATCATATGTGTTATTGACCTTTCATTAAGTGAAACGTACACACTTGTACTCTCACCGCTGCAACAGAAATTCTGAGTTTAACACAATAATGGATTTTACCTACATGTATGTACAGCTATAACAGAATGCAGGGTTCTCCGGAAGTTGCAGTGACCAGCAAAATACAGTGTCCAGTCATAACGGAGGCATTGGCTACTTACAGAATTAATAATTCTTTTTAGGAGGAGGAGAAATAAGGATGATAAATCTGTTGTATTTTGTTGGAAGAAAGGAAATTTAATAAGATGTAAAATAAACCAAATGTGGGTAAATAATGGTGCCATCATCATGGCTAAAATTCTCTCTGCCATCCCACAGAATGATAGCCTGTGCCACAGATGACACTAAACTCTGGTTCAGTTTGTCTGTGAAACAGTGCCAAAATCCTTGTTCTAGATGCCACCTGTGTACCGGGATTTGAGTATGTGCCATGATTAGGCTGTTGAAAAAAACCACTGTTGTTTGTCAATAAGGAGGAAAGGAAATTCAAAATGCACTTCCAGTAATTTGTCGATTCCATTGGTGGCTCAGAACAAGGATATCACTGTTACTTCATAGATGTTATTTACCAAGCCAGGTTAAATTACAGCTGCAATGCAGACTAAGAAAATAAAGTTAAATTCACTTTTCAGGGCCCACTAAAACAAATTTCGAACCTGAGGAGGCCTCCAGGTCCTTCCAGTGGAAAGGCGCAGCAGATGTTATGCCCCTTTTCACACCCTCACCCATGTGAGCATCTTTCCAACCAATCTATTAATTTTCCATCTACTCAATTTTTTCTCTTCCTCCTTTAAAATAATTTTGTAGAAAGCCCTGAGGATGATACCCAGATTGGATTTCTATCACTCAGGGCCTGGTTCCTCGAAAGATGGTTAAGTTGAACCCAAGATTACGCAAAAATTTTCTTGTCTACAGACATGTAACTCAAGCTTACAAAATACAGCTGAGCCTTTACTATGAGATACAGTTATGATACACAAAATGTTACTCTAAGCAATGCATAGGTACCTGTAGGTAAAATACAAAAAGTGGAACAAAATACTAATCCTGGGTTAGCACTAATTGGCTTTCAGGAACCGAGCCCAGGAGTCTGATTCTCTCGAAGTAAATTGAAGAAAGGTTCAGCCAATGGTCTTTTCTAACAGGTTTTTTGCTCTTACCTTGTGTTGACTTTAAACCTTCCATTTGGTGTAATCATGAAAATTCTTGGTGGTTTAAATGGGAAATCTTTTGGAAAAACTAGTTTACCATGATAGTAACCTCCTAAATAAGAATAAAACATATACATCAGCCTAAGCATACACCATTTACCATCCCCATTGAACTTTGATCGTTCTTATTGTATCACATTTATTTTGAACCAATCAGATCGAACTTCTCCCACTGTGACCATATGGACTGTCACCCTCCAAGTTGTCTTCTTGCTGTTTTTGCCATGTTTTTAGGTATTATTTCACCTAGTTCCAGCTGTAGTTCTCACTCTTGAAAGGAGTGAAATGTCGGCAATTTTTTTTTTTTTTCACAACCAAAACAACTCAACCTCGTCCCCAGGTCTTCTCGGTGACGGTGCCTCAACCTGTAGTGGGCTGCATTTTTGATGTCATTTCCTCCTTAAACACAAAATTCTTCCAAATTTGGTCATCAGTAACTGGTTATGGTGAATTATGCGTGTGTTTTTAGCCAATCACAATTGGGGAAATATTTTGAATGAATAATAAGCTGTGTTACACACTTTGTATTTGACAATCTAAATGTAACATCATCCTAACAAACTTACTTAAGATAGTCGTAGCTGGAATAGTGCAAAACATTTACAGTTTAAAATAGACACCCGAGCTTACAGTGATAGCTTCCGCTTTTAATTCATCAACTTATATAAATAACTACTACCCTTTACATGTTTCGTTCCAAATTGTTTTACCTGTATATGGAGTATTCTCAGGACCTCGAACAACGTAATGCCTGCAAAGTGAGTGAAATATATCCTTACTCAAAGAAACAATTGAGAATAAATCTAATAAAACGAATGAATGACAAAACGCTACAAGGAAACCGTACAATAAACACACACTATGCTAAATTAAACCAACCATTCTAGAATGTTTGAAGGCAAAGGCAACGCTGTAATGTAAGGGACCGGATCTTTAACGATTCGAAGGTAATCTTGTCGTAATCTCGACGCTGCTGTTGTGTGAACCCGCTTATGGAATGCCATATAAAGACGAAAAAGGTATAATAAATGAGAAGGAAGAAGACATACGCATTCGGATAAACAGTACAAATTTCGAGACTGTGCAAATCAATGTTGACCGCTGTCCGGGAAAAAAATTCTGTCACGTGACTTCTTAAACTAACTGGTATTCCTGTGGCGTTCATTCAGCAGAGGGTCTGGTACCAAAGTCAGCCATGATTGTTACCAAAAGGTACCATTGATCAGGAAAATTTATCATTTTCAGTTCGTAGTTTTGAATCGTTAGACAGTTACTGGTGATATTAATTGCCGTATTTCTTGGTCCTCTACTTATAACTGGTAAGGCTGTAGAGAGTTTTCGATTTGTTAGCAACCCAAATTCTGTTGTCTGTTCGTTCTGTTGAAATAACAGCCTTACGTAAACTTTACCTTGGAGGTAAACTAAGCTCAAATAGTTTTAAAGAGTAATGCCAGCCTTCTACTGTAGATGCGGTTTACAAGGAAATCGTAGTTTTAAGAAACTAATCGTGATTGTTTTGTTATTATTCAGAACCAGAAGATAAAGCTTGAGGTGTAGCTTCCTGTCTCAGTGGGCTGCCACAGCACTGCTCAAAATTTGCAAACCGGAAATTTTCCAATTCTCTTCATTTTTCGGGAACGGTCTACGCTGTTAACAATCATCTGACAATTTTTTCTACGAAACTAGGAAGTTACCGTGATTGAAAGGTACAGTATTAGAAGCATTGCAATTGTGTCATGATTAACTTAATAACGAAGTAATATGTTGCTTTGCCAGCATTAGGTTACTAATAAAACAAAGAATTCTCTGCAAGATTCTTTTACCTAAGGTGACTGTCAATTTCAAGGATCCTGATCCACCCCCCGCCCCCACCCCCCTCACTCTCACCACACTCACACACACACTTAAAATACCCTGCATGCCCCTGGCATTTGACCTAAGGTTAGCTCTGTACAGTGGGGTGAATTTGACACAGAAAGAGTGCTACATATGTACATGTATGAAATGAAGGCAGTGTTCACTGGTTTTACTTGTGTGACATTACTTTCAGAAAATAATTATCTCCCCTTCCTCCAAAAAAGATAAAAAATTTCAGGGGGGAGGTTCAAAAATAATAATTGTAATGTATGAAGCTACTTTGGAATTTGCACAGCAAAAGAGGATCAGAGAACTAAGCCTTATGTTGATCTTAGTATCAATGATAATTATTGGGACATTCGTTGTCCTGACAGCCAACAGTCATAGTGAGGAATTTGGCAAAAATTGTTCAAGAAAGTAAAGTGCCCAGGGTTGGTCTGGGATGAGAGTTACAATTGGGGCTTTTTTTTGGAAATATTGACTGATACATTCAATTACAAAAAAAACAAAGAAAACAACTGACAACTCTGTGGCTTAGACATAGCACATTGTACATCCTGGACATCAGGGGTGCTTACCATCTGACAGAAAATTTCGGAAATTCCAGATGGAAGGTAAATGGTAAGGTCACTTTTCGGAAATTCCAACCGAAAATTGAGGAGTACGTTTTGAGGTAGTCCGCTCATTCCAGTTCGTGCAAACGAAATGGAATGTTGCTTACCATTAACCAATTTCTCGGTTCCTTCTCAGTTCCAGACTCACGCTACACAAATTCGCCCTTTTTTTGGATTCAAACCGTGACGGATGTAGCAATTCTGCGGTAAACTGGTATATCGCTTACCATTATGCTTTCGACTCCCCGAACGGATTTTTCTTTCAAATGGTATTAAGCACCCCTGTTTTGTTGGTTTCATTTAATATATTAACTTGTTACTCCTTGTTATTTCGTCAGTGTGGAATGGCAGAGAAAGAGGTCAAGGCAGGGTTTAGTCACAGCCATAACTTAGAGCAGTATGTTTTGCTTGCCAAGTCAGCACGAGGAGCTGGACTTGTTGCCCTTATAAATCAAGCATTAGAGGCTCCTGGAGTGTTTGTTTTTGGGGAACTTTTGGAAATGCCTTCTGTGAAAGAGGTATGCCATGTGACATTGCCTCTGAAAATCTATTATGTAAAGGTATAATATTAGTGACGGGATGTTAAAGTGCGAGTTCTGTAACTGGAGCCACCTAGACATAGTTGACCAATCACACTACCTGACAGTGTGTTAAATGGGGCATTCAAAAATAGCAAACACTCATTAATTTATCGTCTTGGTGATGTCTTCTATAACAGGAGTTGACTGATTGTGAAACAAAATTTAAGTTGTATATGTTTTGTATGGTAATAAGTACATACATGTATTTTCATTTATGGTATTAGTTGGAGAATTCAGAAAATGCAGCATACTGGAAACTTTTAAACATCTTTGCATTTGGAACATATGGAGAATACAAAGGTACAATATGAATGGTTTCATGCTTGATTTTTTTTTTTTGAATCATTTCTCTCACAGCAGAAGTATAGAAATTTTGTTGATGATGACTGTTTTATATTTTTCAGCAAATTCCAGCTCCCTACCTGCCCTTACGGCTCAACAACTAAAGAAACTGCGTCATTTAACAATAGTATCATTAGCTGCTAAGTCAAAGGTAAGTGAAAGGAGCTTACAATCATTGGTTGAGACAACAAATATAATTGTAGGAAAATAGATTTAGCAGTCATGAAACCTGAGCTTATTCCTGTTTTTAGAGACATGAAACACCTACATTGTAGTACACCTGTAGGGGTAGACATGTATATTGTAGCTACTCTCCCAACCTCCTTCGCTCTCCTCCCCTTCAATGGAGATTCTAGTACATCACCAGGTTACACACAGTAGCATGTTGCAGGCCCAGTAGGTGAGAGATGGGCGGTAGTACTCCCTCAGAGTTGCTAGCGGGTTGCGCCGATGAATTTGTGGCATTGTCTCAGACAATTATTATAAAAAAAGGAATCCTTGTCGGCGGCCACTGCATGACATAGAATTTCACGCAGAGAGTGGAACATAAGCTCACTGAACATTGAACGCTTAGGTTAAGTGAGAGAATGAGATGCGGGAGAAAAAAACTAGGAAATCTATGACCATAATTCCATTAAGCAAATCTGTGGACAAGAATATCGAACGTGGTTATTTGTCGGAAACCTGTTCACAACATCCTTCCCAGCACCATACATGTAGTTTCACTTCTAGACCCCCCTCCCCCTCCCCTCTTTCCAAGAATTCATGAAAGTAATGCAACACAGACAAACAACTCGGTCAAAATGAGCCAGCAGCTGACAATTTTCCACTTACAGTGGACAACATGCTACTTATTCATTGCTTAATAATGCTAAGTGACATCCTTGCATCACAATCACAAGCCCTAGCTGCTGGCAACAGCATTAATTTTACCCTGCCTACTTTTGCAAAAGCTTTTGACCAGGCTGGACAAATTCAAGTTTTGTATCTAAATGGGACATTAAATAATTTTTCCAAAAAAAAAAAAAAATAGCATGTCAAGTAGTTCTTTTAATTTTCCAGCAGTATAAAATTACTATAACTATTATTTTTCTTATTCTGTTTGGAATCATTTCCACACACTTTTTGAGTTTGTGCCTTGGTACCGTGAAAACCCATTTGCAAAATTCCTTTTGTTGTGATTATGTAAAATAATGAGTTAGTTAAAGTATCAGCCTAACTTACAGGTACATTGTATCCGTAGGTCCCACCTCCTGGCTGGTGTTTTTAATAGAAAGCTTTTATGTTAAAAATAAAAACAGATAAACAAACAGACAAAATAAAACAGAACAAAACAAAGCAAACAAACAAACAAAACAAAACAACACACGTGCACAAAAAAAGCATAATTATGTGCCATAAAACATGCCCCAAGAATACTTGTATTTTTGGTTTCAGTTCTGGAACTAAAATATTTTGTCCGGTTATTGCAGTTCATACCTTACAGCTTGTTACTACAAGAGCTCGATATCAAAAATCTAAGAGAACTAGAGGTGATGTGTCTTATTTAATTATTATTGCAGATAATTTCCTTCAGATAGGATGCCAAAAATAAAGTTAGATAATGTAGGGAAAAGTATCTGTTATTATGGATTGTGTGAAAAACAGAACCTTTGCAGCTATGAGTGACATGTCCTTCCTTGTGTAAAAAAAAAGATATGGGATGCATATATAATTATTGTGGGATTCAGTATACATGAGTCAGGAAATAAAAAGAGGGTGAAACCCTTGGCCAGTTTCAAGAAGACTGTGTTATACAGCTCATATTTTATAGGACTGAGAATGTCTGAAAATCGTAAAAGTGAATATTGTAGAAAAAATTATTTGGCCATCCTGACAAGGCATGGAACAGTTTAAAGCCTGAGTAGCCAAACACACATGGAAGAAATGCACCCTACTTAGGTGTACTTGAAGATATGGTATAATTTGCATCTTTAAAAATTGCTTTGAGCACCTCGTGACAAATCCTCTTCTCTAGAACGAAGCCATCATAAGAGGATGACCTTTGACCCATGCCGTGTTAAAAGGGATGAAGGACTTTTTCAAAAGTATAGTATTAACT